TCAGTATGCCAGTAAAAACATTCCAGCAACCTCTAAACATCCCTGATCCGGTATTGATCAGGACAGTTTAAATTGTCGGACTCCTAGTGCCAGGAGTCTGGCATGCTAGCAGAATCCACCGGGAAGCCTAATATATCGAAGTCCAACTCTCCTCCAACGCTCTTTGATATCGAATAGAGATGGTTTCCTCGGACCACTTCCTGGCGACTCTGTGGGTGTTATGCCAATGTTCCGTCTCTTGGTGTCACCGGTGGCGTGCTTACTGGATTCTCAAAGAAGAGGGCGTTGCGGTAACTGGAGACGCCATAGATAAGTTATTGGAGTCTCGACTGCTTTCAGGACACAGTTGGTGAGATGCTTACCTTGCTAATGGAGCGCCTACGGGTTTTGCGTTGTTTCAGAAGGTTCGAAAGGAATGCAGCCTACGTGGGAAATTCGAACGGAGTGGGTACTCATCCCACCTGATCATAAGTATAAATTAATAGCCACTCCGAACAAACGAACACCCACCAGCGACCCAGAACAGCAAATGAAATATTGTCAATAATGACTGAAGTGGGTCAAACCTCGGAAGATTATTTGGAGTGGTAGTTGTTGCTAACGCACATACCTCTCATAAGCCACAAGCCTAGAGACTACTTTGCCGGTTGGAAACGTCCAGGAAAAAATATAGTTGCACTGTTTCAACACGTCAACGAATTCTGTCCCAATTTAACAAACATGAATTTCATGGATCCAATGGATTCCACCCGTTGATGCTCCACATTTTGGTGGTTATTTCGACCACAGTTTGTGCAGCAAACTTCGGTCGATGAATAGAAGAAGTTGTGGTAACGACTATGTGAAAACGGAGTCATTTTCGGGACTGGAGACAAATGACCTGACAACTTATCGATCAATTAACCTGACGTAAACAGTCGGAAAAGTGGTGGAATGTTGTATGGAGAAATTCCTACAGCAGCGTGTCGATATTGATGGGCTTTCTGATACCATTCTGATCGGTGGTCGGTGGTCTGATCAGTACATTCTCGTCCTTCAGACTTGGGGTTGGAACATGCGTAGCTCTGGAACCAGAAAATCGGCAAGGTGATCAAGAGATGAGTCTTTAGTGGACTGGAGTGCACTTCACTCAAATTATTAGTTCGACATGAAAGGTTGACGAAATAGAGAAGGCCAACAATGCAGTGAATGTCAGATTATTTCGATTGAACATTTCGACCGGCCCTCGGAAACCGCCGCGAAGCGAAACGATCTAGGATCCAAGTGGGGCGACCATACTCCACGCAGAAGGACGCCTCGGACCCAGGGCCGACCTTCGTGATGATAAGCAACGGTCATCGAAACTCGTTCGGCCGTAACACCATGCCGGTGCCTAACCGCCATGCCACCCGAATGAAACACGAGGGTTGGGATACTGCCAGGTTGCCCAAGCCCAGGCAGAGAAAGTCGAGAGGCAGAGGTCGGCTTCGAATTACGGACCTTCCAGTCAGAAAATTCGTGCTCTAACCACTGCTATCTCGCCATCATCGAACCGCAGCACAACCCTCGTCGGTAAACCTAGAGCCCCGTTTGGTCTCGGAGATTTATGACTGCATACGTATTCTTGAGTGCCACCGAGTTCCTGGTCCGGATGATCTTTCACCTGCATTGTTTAAGTATGGGAGTAAAATCATCAGTCAGTGCCTGCCCGATCTATTCGCTTCCATCTGGGAAAAGGAGAATATCCCATATAATTCTGGTGAATCAGTGGTAGGCTTATTTTAAAAAATGAGCGGTAGTGGACCCCGGTCGTCTTTCAGGCGTTGCTTTTCCTTCATCGTTTTATGGTGGCCAGTGAAGCACTTGCTGGAGAGCAAAAAAAGGGGTTCCGACCTGGTAGGGGTTACGTTGACGAAATCTCCACACTGTCAGATATTAAAACAACGTCATACACATAAGCGACCCAAAATTTTTGTATTTGTGGATGTCCAAGGCGCCTTCAACTCACTTGGGCGATCTGTTCCTCTTAACCTGTTTGCTCAGCAGGTAACATCCCGGAAATTTGTGAATATGATAATATATTTGTATTCGCAGACTTCTGGGCATATGCAAGCATACGGATTGCTGCACAAAAGCTTCCATACGCCAAGTGATGTCTGAAAATGATGCCCACTTCATCCCTACTCAATTTTGTGATGGAGAAGCTAATGAGATGAACGCTACAATTTTTTTAAAACCCTGGTTTTCGGGTAGCTGCTGACGAAACCCTTGTCTATTTGGAATATTCGGACGACATCGTTCTCGTCTCTGAATAAGAGAAGACATAGGTATTTTTGGTTGAACTGACCGAAGTCATCCCGTGAGATATGACTGCTAGTCGATGTCAGCGGTGCTTTTACTGTCGCTTTCTGTCCGGATTGTTTGATTGAGTGGGAGGATCGTGAAATGTTTATGACTTCAATTAAATCTTTCCTTCACAGTAAGATTTCAAAGTAAACTGCAGTTGTACTGGGGTGAAACCTCAGTGTGAAGCATTGTGCGGTGTTAATGATGGTGACGCCCTCTCTGTTTAATGATGGACTTAAGATCATCACTTGCCTTCGTCTCTCCGAAAGAGACCGTTCCAGCCAACTAGGGTGGGTCGATTCTATTGCCTATCTCCAAAATTGATGTCCCCAGCGTGTGTGGCAGCCGCAGATGATTAGTTTGCCCCCCGTCGTAGCTAAGCTCTGCATTGCTTCGCTTACACCGCCTTATCAGAGCGGGAGAACGGCCGTGATTCCTACTGTAAGCTAGGCTTACCCCCTCCACTCCCCATTTCTTCTTTGCATCATAAAACTTTATTAAAATAAATTGACATGGGTGTGTGGCAGTGGGATGGCTCAGTGATTAGAGTGTGAATTTACTAGCCGGAAGGTCCATGGTTCGAACCCAGCCTTTGCATCTCAGCTCCCCCTGTCCAGGCTTGAGCAACCTGGCAGCATACCAGTCCTCGTGCTTCTTTCTGATGGCATGGCAGCTAGGCACCGAAAGGATGTTACAGGATGTTACGACAGTGAAGTACCGGTGTTCTCGTCTGGTGCTGCTGTTAGTGATGATGGTGATGGTTTCGAAAGACAATCATTTTCGAAGTACTTGGTGTCAAGTAATAGCAATAAGCACCTTTCCTTGAGATATGGTGGCTAGCCGAAGCCGGTTGGCCCATGTTAGCAGCTTCATTCCAGTTTTATTGAGTGCTAAAAATGTACGTACTTCGCACGTTTCTTGCTAGACTAGCATGAAGTTCTTGTCCCTCTCTTATTGTCATTTTTGTCTACCCAAGCCTTCGAAGTGACGATGGTCCTTAAACACTAAGGTTGTTATCAGCGAAGATTGCGCTGGACGACCGTAAAAGGAGTAACTTTCGTATCCAATCTGTTGGTACTCGTTGAGGGGGGAATCAGGTCCTTGGAACTCCTATCCAATTAAATCCGGTGTGGCTGTGAATACCTCTCTCTCTCTCTCTCTCTCTCTCTCTCTCTCTCTCGCTGTCGACCCAACCTGGCACTCGCATATCAGGTTTTCAATTGATACATTTCAAATGCAATCTCCTAAAAGTGAACTCATTTTTGTTGTGCTCATTAGTCGTCAGTGTGAATGATTCATCTCCTTCCATTGAATACGAATTGCGAAGCCATTCTCAGTGAGAAGCCACTATTGAGGTGTGTAGTGTATGCTATTTCAATGTGTACAACACCACTTGGCATGCCCATTCGACTCATGCCGACTCAGAAAGCCCTGAGGAAGCGTTTTTCGCAATCCACACATCTTTTCTCCAGTCTGACTTTTTTCACTGTGAATTCGTAACTCCGATGGCTGCCCTCCGCGGACGCTACCCATCCTGACTAGTCTTTTCGGGCTGCAAACATGGGCTGTACTGTAGGCGAACGTATCCATCTGTACAGGATAATACAAACACCTGTCGAAAGTCGCTGGCAGAAGACCGTTGTGTGGAAAGTCAGAATACTCCCTTCCCAGTCGCGCAGCAGAATTTCACGTTTTGAAGCTCTAAAGCGAAATCAAATTTAATTTGACTGAAGCCGAAGAAGGGCAATCTCATCCCCATGTTCATTATCTTCAAGCATGTCACCCAGATGAGGCCTTACTCGCACTTATTTGGAGCCTTTTACATCATATCGTTAATCACGAGGTTGAAAGATCAGATCTGTGCCTACCTTGAAGATGCTTCATTGATGCAGGGAATGTCATAGATTACTACTTCCCTCCATGAAGCAGGAAATAGTAAACTAGATGTACACGACCTCTACTCAACACTCATTCACTNTATATCGTGGGTATTGGGGTGTTCGTTTGCAGTCGGGGGAAGATGAATTGCTCCGTTGTTACGAGCGGCTTCAACGTCCGAGGACAGGCTGCTGTGCTTTAGTCGACGCAAGCTGTCATCAGCATATAGTCCTAATCTTCGAATTTTCAGCAGTTTTGTTTTGCATTTTCACACCGAGACATTTGCAGTTGGACGCTCATTTTCAAAGTAAGGTGATAATTCATCTGAGCCGCTTGTTTATAAGTAGTATCAAATCAAGATTGATGCCTTGTCATCTTGAACTGCGTCCCAACTGGAGCATGAAACGGCATTGTCGCAGCATGCTTGATTTGGGAATATTATGAATGGGGGATTTAGTTGGATTCCAGTTATAGCCCGATTAGCATTGAATTCGTATTCAAATGGGTGTTAATCCCCACTTACAAGAAATTTAATGTTCAAGTACGAAATGAGGTTGATGGAAATTCTGAGAGTAGACCTATCTGGTGTGTGTTAGGAAGTGTGAAAGGGTAGTGAGTTGTCTAGAAGTTTTCGTCCACCTTATCTGTAGTCCTTCGACGTTTCCATGAGTAGGCACTTAAGCGCACTAGTGTCCACAACCATTGCATCTGTGCACGGGAAAAGTGAAGTATCGTATTCTTGCTAGTATTGATGGATGGAAATACACCATCATTCTTTCTCATTTCCTCTGTTTTTTCAGGAACGCCGATGCGTCAGCTAATACGAACCCGACCATTGACCCAACGTCGTATTTTGGTCTAAATGGATACCTATCGTGATCGAGCCCGTTCAGATCGCAGTAGGGAACGTGCACAGAGAAGAAAGAAAAACCGAGGTGCAGGTGACGCAGTTCGGGGTGAAAACAATGATCCACGCGGGAATTACCACGATCAAGGCTTTGTGGACGTTGCTTACCCAAGTGAACACGGGGAGGTTTATCGAGATGTCGATTACAGCGATAATTACCACCAAGACCAGTTAGACGATGGTGAGTTTGAACACCAACATTCCCCTGACGACGATTATGTTCCTCAACGTCGTCACAAGAAGAAATCAAAACGGTCTTCTTCCAAACCAACCACGATAGAAGATAAAGAATATGTCAACGCACCCTACCGACCTGAGGAAGACTATCCACGCAAGGATGATGATTTGGCTTATGATGATCCGGAATATGATGACCAACAGTACGATGATGATGGATATCAAGTAGAGTCTCAAGAAAACTACCCCGAACCAGAGGATAGTGTTTTTTCTGGATCGCAGAGAATACCCATCCCAGCAACCCGTAGTCATCGTTCATCTAAACCAATCCCCCGCAATGGGAAGATTCCGCCGTCGGTTGACTCCTTGTCTGACTACGGCAGGCAGTCCGCTGCTGCCGAGACTCCTCGAGCTGTAGGTGGAGAAGAACACGGGTTTTGGAACCCTGAAGTGGACGTGGGAACTGGTCGTCAGCCTTCGTTAAGTGAGCAGCCGCCTTTTACCGGATTGCAGAAGTTTATTGCGTCCTTTCGCCGTCTCCGCAGACCCAAAGCTCCCAATGCTAAGGCTCTCACCGAACAGAATGTGTCTAACAGTGGTACATTGGTTCTTGCACGCGTTATAATGCTGGATGGTGAAGAGATATCCTTTCAATTGGACCGTAACGATACAGGACAGTCACTATTTTCACGTGTTTGCCAACACGCCGATATTGTTGAAACTGATTATTTTGGATTGACCTATGTCAGCAACAAGCTTCGCACCTGGGTGAGCACCAGAATTTCTTCGCCTAATCTTTCTTGTTTCCGTTTTCAGGACGAATCGTGATTTTTACTGGCAATATTTGTAGAATCAGGGTTTCCACACCTATCCGCATATTCGTAAGGGGACTTTAATAAAACCATCATCGGCTTCACCAATAAAATGGGTAGAACGATATCATTGGCTTTTTGCGGTGAGGAGGAGGCATTTAGCTGGGCCCCACGGAATTCACCACAAAATGGCCGCTAAAAGAACAGACACGTGGTCATTTTTCCGCTTCTCGAGCCATCCCATCGATAATACGGAAAATAGAATGAATATACGGAAATATATCTCCAAGGGATGCTTATCATATGCTGTCTGGAAAGGACCATCAAACAATTTACTGTTCTGACGTTCATTGCCACGTATCATTAGGGAGCCTACTTTAGTTGGAGCTCACGTCTTCTCTGGAGACGGACTGCCTGAAATCTGTCCATCCGCTGTTAACTGTTGACCTTGTTTACTGCAAATTTAGAATCGTCAATTTCAACGTTGTTCAGTTCTCATGTATTTCGGCAATGGGATAGTACGATTTATAGATATGTGCATTGATTTAGCAGAACCAGTAGGCATTGAAGGTACAAAATGTTTGTTTCTGTTCATTGGAAAGCACTGACATATTTCAATCGCTTTGCACAAATCTCTATCCACGTATAACTTCATTTCATGCCCTCTAGATAGCAGTAATTGTCCACTTTGGTTTATGCTCTAGACCTGCGGAAATTCAGTGATTAAACAGCGAATCTGTGGGGTCCTCGGTTGGGACCCAACCCTAGCTTTTCGACTGCCCTTTTCCAGGCTTGGCTGATCCGGCAGTGTCCAACCCTTGTACTGTCTTCCTTGCATAGTAGCTATGCACTAAACCTGTACCAATACAGACTTTTGTTTGGTTTCCTTTGGAGCAACCGCTATCAGGTGGTCATTTCAAGCTCATTTGGGGGTTGCGATTTCCCAGGAGAAATCTGTTCTAGTATCCCCGGGAGAGGAAACACTGCAGTATCTTTCAAACTCGTTACCTAGTTTTTACTGATGTATCGGACAGTGTTTCGGTAAAATAGGTCATGTTCTGTCATAACTGATGTCGAGGTTAGCCAACTCCGCGCATCGTTTGTTCGGCCTTATTCAATAAAGGATTCCGATTGCTTAGTTCTCGTTGACTCCTGATTAACTTCTATTATTATGTTTTAGTCGTCCGCTAACTGTATTTCATAATTTAGTTCGTTGATTGGTGTGTGGAATTTTCAGGTGTGGTTGTCCGGACGGTGATAACCTCTGGTGTAATGTCACACAGAAGTACTTTTATCAAATATTTACGAGCCCGGCTTCCAAGCGGAACTCCCGGAGCTGGTGGGACAACCGAAGCAGTGTCGCTTACCTGAGCCATTTCAACACCAAGGCGGCACTGAAATAGAGGTTCTCATGAATTCATACTTTGATACGAGTTTATGAACTGCTGTTTTTTTTAACCCGTCGCCCAACTAGGTCGCAGATTCACGTGAAAAATTCCGTCTCAAATGTAGGAAGCTGTACTCATTTTCTGTAATTTCATCCAACAGTCCAATATTTCGCTTGTCCACACTGCAATGTACCAAATAAACCTCATTATGGGCATGCATACTTAGTAATAACACAAAACAGTGTTACTCGAGAGGACAATTTGTACAGCAAGCAATTTCTTTCGTGCCATTTCGTATCAATTCCGTACGTCCGTATTATAATGGGAATGAAGACAGAACTAACGAGTGCACTGAAACTTTGGTTAGTGCCTGACGGTGCTCGTGGGAACTTTACAAGAGGCATGTGATAAGCATCGTGATGACTGGTTCCTAATTCTTCTAAGTAGTCCATGATGCGTGTGGTCGTAGAATGTCGATTAAACCGTGACAACCGATTGTCTTCGTTCGGGTCGTGAAGGCGAATGGCAATCGCCTATACTGTGCCTAGTATCTGCTGTCCGAAACTTTCCCGGCACATATAACTGAAGCCAACGTGTTCAATAACTGACCTGTTGAGTTAAGTTGTTCTATTTCACACTGGTTGCCCTGCTAGTTAAGCCGCTCTGTTTCACCAGCTCACCTCTGCCCTACCAGACCATCTAAGTTAATCGGTTGAACTTGGAAGTAGCACGAAACATACCTAAGTGTTACGCTTCAAAAAATTTTTAGTTTGAACCTCACCGGAGTCTCGCTTTCATGTTTAGACCAAACTGACCGATGTTCATATTTCCTTTGCAATTTTAGTTTTGGTTGGATCCCGAGAAGAAGATCAACAAGCAACTGCGGAGTGAGTCGCTTTGCCCTGATACTAATTTAATGTCTATTGTTAATGTCTGTTCATGTGGTATCACGGAGGCCGTTTGAAGTTGGTTAAAGGATGTTCTTGAGCTTATCATGAAGTTGTATTCTTCATGCCACTTCGCTTTACGAAACTAGGGGTGCCGCCTATCGTCAACTGTGGTTCCGGTTTATGTCGTAGAACTTGTCTGACTTCGTTTGTTGTCAGCCGAATGTGCACTGTGATGGCCTGTGTTCTTGTGCCTCTTTAACCACTCTTCCTTCCGCAATGTGAACCGATAAGTTCACATGTTATTCTGGGCCATTCATGGTCTCATCTTTTGTCTTGCATTTGTTTGCTATTCTGTCCGTTCTCCTGCCAGCAAACAGGATAACCTTAAATTCTATCGGTCTCCCTCCCTGTGAATTTTAAAGATGTTTTGTTTGTGTATTTTATTTCCTTTCTCCAGTATAACTAGAAAGCATCGTATCCTATAGGGAGCAATGGCCTCTCTTTTGCGATTGGTCATACCAAAAATGGAGTTGTTACGGGGAAGTTCACTTTGTAGAAAGCCCGCTTTCTTTTTATTCCAAGGAAAGTTCAAACGTCCAAAAGTGACAGGCTCTGTTCTACTGTAATTCCTTTGTGCCCGCATAGTCTAAAGCAGTGTTCCTGGACACGTTCGCTGAACACGCCCTCACAAACCAAGGAGAGGTACTGGCAGTTGTGGGCTATTTTACGAATCTTGGAAGTTGTGTTAGTTCCTGTTGTGGTGTGACAGGTGAAGTTAATGCACGAATATCTAAGGCCTTGGTGGCATTTGCTAATTTGAGACACGTATGGTGCCAAAGCGGCATACCGCTGAATCTCAAGGGACGTGTGAATCAGGCTACAGTACGGGCTGTTTTGTTTGTATGGCTGTGAAACGTGACCTATGCGAGCAGCGTAACTGAGGCGTCTTCAGAGCTTTGGTAACCGTTATCTCAACCATGATTCGTGTAGACTGGTCCCAGAGAACCCGCTACGAAACAGTTTGAAAACGAGTATTCGGTTGTTCTGCAGAGACTTCAACTAAGGATTCTATCCGCCACCAAAATCTGCGGTAGTTTGGTCACTCATTGTGCATGTAGAATCATTTACCGTGAAGTATATTGTTCTTTGTGCTCAGTTCAGAGTTCACCTGTTCGCCTCCATGGATAGGGTCCACATGGCCCTTCCTGTGCTTGCTGGAGACACTGGACGTTATACCGGCTAACCGATGTCAGTGACTTTCCCCTCTTATTGACGTTGTTGAAACTCCTACGTCAGTCATTGGTTTGCCTTGTCGCCCATTCTGGTGTCTGAAAAGCAAATGAGTTTTTTTCATTCATCCTTTCCGTCCGTTCAGCATGATGTTGCCAAGTACAGCACATGGGATCGGCTTTCATACTGTATATCCAAGCTTACAGATTCATCATCATCGTCATCGACAGCATGGCATTAGTGTTCAACACCGACGCTTCACTGCCGTACAACCATGATTTACCTAAAAGCCATATTGTAAAGAAAAGAATAAAGGTGAACGGAGAAGGGACTTAGTGTTAGCTTACAGACTGCGAATGGCGTAGCTGTGTTTCGCACTCCGTTTTCATTTAAACCGTCACCATTACGAAGGAACATTATTTGGCCTCCCCCAGGACTGTCTGCTCTTCTTCATGATAATTATGCAGTTTAATTCTTATGTCCGTTTCCATTCGTACTCAGATGGTGAGCAGTGGCTCTTCTCCTTTCAAGTGAAATTCTATGCCCCGGAACCCACTTTGCTCCAGGAAGACATTACCCGTTATCAACTAGCACTCCAAGTTCGACAGGACATATACACCGGGAAACTGCCGTGCTCTTGGGTCACTCAGGCTTTGCTTGGTTCGTTCATGGTCCAGGCCGAGCTGGGTGACTATGATGAACGCGAACATGGTGGATCCACAGATTACCTGAAGGAATTCGAATTTGTTCCATCACCGACACCACAGCTGCTGCAAAAGATCGCAGAATTGCACAAAACCCACGTGTAAGTTTTTCTTCCTTGAAAATCCTTCTGCCTTATTCGTCTGGTATCTACACTCAATTTTGTATTAGTCTATCATTTTCACGGTGGTGGTCACTTGTTGACTTCATTAACCAGCTACAAATCAAGGGATTACATAGGACAAGTCGTGAATTGTGTAAGCCGAGCAAGAACCCTACCCTTTCTGATGCATACATGCATGCATGAAGTAAGGCAGAATGAGTAGGAGTCTAGTTACTCGCGATGGTTCAGGTAACAAATCGTGAGCGCTGCTAGCCGAAAAGCCCACACTTCTAACCGACCCCCAATTGCTCCTGTCTTATCTTGGGCAATTTGAGCACTCGTGCTTTCTTCGAGTTACGTCGCATCTATGCACCGAGATCGTGCCACAGCTGAACGATTCGATTTTCTCCATTTTTACTGGTGTATCCTCTTACTTATTTGTAGAGGAATGAAGCCAAATCAGGCGGACATCAAGTACCTGGAGACTGCCAAACGTCTCGAGTTGTACGGTGTGGATTTGCACCCTGTTCGTGACACGGAAAACGTGGAAATTTATCTGGGTGTCGGGTTTCACGGGATTGTGATCTACAGAGACCGTTTGCGTATTGGACGTTTTGCCTGGCCGAAAGTGTTGCGGATCTCTTACAAAAAGAATAATTTCTACCTAAAAATTCGTCCGGATAATGTAAGTGATGTGCACAATGGACGTTCAATTCTGGCGTACTCCTGGCTGCTTTTTGCTGTCTTCTATCATTGTGAAGGCCGTATGCAACTAAAGCCTTACCATACTTAAAGTCAGCAAATCCATTCGCACACTTTTTTCAGACTGTTCATTAGTGTTTGCATGGTGTCTTCCACTCTTCAGGACTGTTCGCTTTCGTGCGACGGTTTGCTGTCTGAACATACCTAGAGTTTGTCAAACAACTTGCCCTGTTTTGCTCATCAGTTAAACCGACAGGTTAGTCTCAGCCTCCTGTAGGTAGTACTTCTGAGGACACCCAACCTATCGCTCTGGTCAATGAAGCACTGGAAACTTTCCCCATATTTCCAGTGTATTTCTTTGTAAATCACCTAAGGTTACTGTTTTGGTGCCTGATTTTTATCAGATAGCCACAAGAATTCTGCTGAATCATATCACACAATAGTAATCACGAAGTGAAATAGCTATTTTGTTTTCTTTGAAGTGCGGATACAATAAATAAACGGATCGATGCGTTAATGATTGTTGTACACGGTGTGTCCATTTGGTTATAGCAACTTAAGCGGGTCACGATTGGCGTAATCCAAAAACCAAAAACTTATTTTTTACTGTTGTTGGTCAGATATCACACTTGACTCCATTTTTCTCGATGGACATTTGACCAGTGTCCAGCCTGATATTCCTCGCAAGTTTGACTGACAAATAACTAATCTTCACAATTCCTACATCGTGAGACACGTTGATAATGGCGATTCGTCTTCTCTAGCAAACGACAATGTAGTTACCTTGACTCTTGTGAATCACGTGAAGGCTGCGCATGTCTGGTGGCTAGACATGATAAACTCGCCAGTTCTTCATCCCAGGAAGTGGCCCTAGAGTAGGATTTGTAATTTCGAGAAAACATCTTTTGGTTGCTTTACGGTGTTGGCGCAAAAATTCAGGTTTTATTTACTCGACCCCATTTTTTCTTTGTTTGCTTAAGTTATGAACACTCGTGTGCCAGTATTTCCTATGCGTATTGCCAGTATTTTGTTTCTGGATTCTTCCAGCCCAATGATCTGTTCGGAAAATTGCGAAAAAGGCTGTCAGCTTTGCAACCTCATAAGCGTGGGGTGTTACAGATATCTCGTCAGCTAAAGGTCATAATTTGTGTAAGGTCTTCCCCTACTCGTTGTGTAGACATCGTGCTCAAATTTGATAGAACTCTTTGAAGCTCTATATGTGATGTCGGCTTATTTTTGTCTAACGTCCTACCAGCCCAAACCGTTCTGAATGCATCCGTAGTCGGATGGCCGCTTGCTTTGAACACTACTTCACTGATGTCTTGTTTGTGTCTGAACAGTTCTACTGGTCTGATCCGGGTCCAACTACTGCTAAACGACCAACTTATTAAAGTGGTATGCCCTTGTACTTAGGCTAAGGTTACTTTTCTGAGGACCGAGCTGATTCGGGTGCTTGTGTTCTCGGCACGCACAGGTTTAAGGCTGCCTTACCGTCCTTGTGATCCTTTGTTCCATCGCTGTGATCTGGTCTGGCCGAGGATATGTTAGGAAGGCTTGGATGAAGGGATCTGACTGGTTAGTGACTCTGTAGTGCTTAGTGAACCCCTTATAAAACCCACTTGAGGTTGTTGTGTATGGTGAGCGAAAGTTACTTGCGGAATAATTTCACAGCCGTAGTCGGCCGAGGGGTACTCCGCATCGGTTCGTTCTGTATATGTTCGTATCTACACAAAGAATCCACATCCTTATGATTCAAGTGACATACTAATTGCACTAAGGCTTGTCTGTCAGTGATACCAACGTCTTTTGCCAGATATTTATCCTCAAGAATCTTCAGCCACAGATGTTTTCGTCGAGAGGTTACAAAGTCATAGGAATCCCTTAATTTTCTGGGGGTTACAAAACTGTTCGTTTCTCGATAGCACCACTTTCATAAGGAGTGCTTTTTGTAAGTTTTTGATCATGGGAAGAGTTGCCGTGCAAAAATGGCAGTTTTCTTCCTGTAGACATCCTTTGCTAGTTTACTGCAATAAATGAAACCGTAGTTATTCTCTCATCTCTGTTGGTATAACTAAATACCAGTCAATAGGGCTCTCAGTTGAGCTTGCATGCGATATAACCGGTTTTACGACCATTCAAGCAGTTTCATGCCGTTCTGTCTCTGGAAGACTATTATAACCGGAAGAGATTTGTACGCAAGCATTTCGGCTTTGTCCAACATATGTAGAAAATGACTGGTGCATAATCCGCCTTCGTCAGATAGACTGATGCTGGCATAAACAGCGGGTGTCTACACGCAACCACGTAATTCCAATCCAAATAGTCAATCGTGCATGCCACCCTTGTTTTGTGCAAGGCTCAGGGTACCATCACCAACACTCATGTGCATGAGTATTTGCGCGCTTGACCATCATGCAGAGCGCACAACGAACATTTGCGAGTGCTTGTGCTGTGACTTTCGGTACGTTTGATCACTCTACTGTCGACCCGCACATAGTGTCAGCCTATCCGTCACTCGTGGCGCCTACTGTTACCTTATTTGCATCGGAACAAGGACAGAATTATAGATTTTTAGACTGCGGAGAAACCGCATCTTTCTCTGTCCGTGGTGTGCATGCAAACGTACTCATTCATTTAGGCTTCGATTGCAAGTTAGGGTGGCAAATGTGGTAATCGAACTAACAGTCCCAACGTGCGTCATGCAAGTCACATGTTTCGTTATCGACCCGTACCCATCCAAGGTTTATCTGTGCACCTGAGTCTTGATCTCAAAGCAACACATATCTAGGTCTGCCCGAACTTATCACGAACCATCTTTGTCATTTACATGTTAGACCTCCCCATAGGCGACGGGACTTCGGTTGACTCGCTCAAACGTATGTGTAACCAATATATTTTTGTTGTTGTTAGTCGGTTACCCGAAGACTCTTGGTTGGAGCTTGGTTGTCCGTTGAATTGTTCGAGCCATTTGTCATTATGGCTCGTCGAAGTGCCCCGTTCTTTTTGGTTTTATTGTTTCGGCTTTTGACAATGACCCATGACAATCTTCTCTTTCTTTCGAAGCTGAATTACCGACGAACATGAAATGTGCTCTGACTCTTACAGTGTGCGGTATTTCTATTTCATTTGTGTTACTGGTCCCTTTAACACTTTATCCTAGTTAAATTGCATTGTGCCCTGTCTAAAATCTAACTTATATGAAACGATATCTTGTCTCTAGCAGGATATAGAGCAGGTTGAATGGATCCAATAAATTCAAGGCATTTTACCAAGCGGTTAAGGCGCAATGTGGTCTCTGGTATGATTCAGGGAGGTTAGTCTAAAACCAACAAATGACATAACTATGTGAATGTGGGAAGTCGGTTTCAATGTCATTGAGTGTGGTGATGATTAACCTATTGGCAATCGATTCCGAGATGTTTAGAAGTCACTGCCATGACTTCCGAATACCACGGTTTTCGTATAGCCACGTTCTACACCTAAGGTTCACAGCCATATAATCAATGGTCTCCAATCGGCTGCCAATCAGTCAACTGACTCATTTCACATTCGCTAGGCTGAACCTGTAGAAACGATCATCGGTTTTCGTCTTCTCAATCACCACATGGCTAATCGCTTGTGGAAAGCTGCGGTGGAACATCATGCGTTTTTCCGACTCAAGGAAGCCAGATCTCCTCATGGGCCCTCCGCCCCATTGAGTTCGAAGGGCAGCTATACAGGGCACACGTTCTTTCAGTACAGAACCATGAATATCAACCGGCCACACCCACACTTTGATCGATCATTGATGAAAAGAAGAACTGCCAGTATGCCAATGGGGTTGAATAAGGGTGAGTTATTGTTGCCATCGTTCTCCATTTTTCAAAATGTATGTTTCAGATCTGTGAACTCAACGAACGTTTGACAGCTATCAGGAGCAGACGAAGGATAAGTATCCACCGCTAGTTTTTGATGAGTTGGTGGCAGTTCGTGACGTTTGAATCGAAAGCAGTTAGTAGGCTCTTTTTAGTAGCATTGTATGGTATGTCTCAAAGCGCCACTAACGAAGGGACAGAAAATGTGGATACTAACGACTCCACCTTTGTACATAAATCCTACAGCCATTTGTCAGCGTACAAATACGCTTTTGCCCTTTTAAGCTTATGCGAACAAGTGTAGTCGAAATCCTAAGGGCAGTGTTTGCAGGGCGAATGATAGATTATTCCTGATGTACTCATCAATGACATTCGCGATCTGGAGGATAGATGAAAGATCATGTAGACTATTGTGTCCATTTGATTTCATTGCTTACTTTTAAATTCTGTTTTCCGATAGTTCTGAGGTAACACACACAGGGAAGCTCAGCAATTAGCCCTTTAATTTCCATATTTGGTCTCGAGATGACCCTTCGGAAAAATGTAGCCGGTTCAACAATCGTGGCTCTTTCAAATGTGGCACTAGCCTACTTTTGAGGCTGGTCTATCAGGCAGATGTTGAATGGCCTATTTTTCTCAGGCTTGATGAGAATTAGCTTTATTAGACGATAAGCTGAATTGCTTTCTAGATTTATGACGACAGGATAACTTAACTCTGATGATGTTGTATGGTGCTACTGACGATAAAGGTTGGTCGTAACTTACTTACACCAACTTATGAATCTAGCAACTAACCCTATGCATCACATCGAGATTGGACTCGTTTAAATCGGATCCAACGATGCTCTTTGTCTTCATATGTCGGTTCCACACCGAGGCGTATTTATTGCATGGTTTTCAAACCCGGTCATCTCATTCAACCGGACGGTATGACCAAATGCACTGACATGCTATTAAAACACTCGACCCCGCAGACTAGCGTGCAATTTGCGGTGTCAACCTCTGTAATATTAGCGATAGATAAACCGTGATGAGCCATTAGATGGGAAGTTTAACCGGGGAAATATTGCATTTCCAGTGACCTAGCCAGAATAAAAAACGGATACCGGCGAGCTTTCGGTCTTATTGGGACTCGTTATTTAGGCGTACAGAGACCGTTCACGTAAGTCGGCCAAACGATTTCAGGTCCTTACTCTCCGCTACGACAGGTGGTTATTCTGATCAAACACTGCTTACCAGTAATCAGACGACGGCCTGAGTAGGTTAGCAACGGATTCAGACCAGTTTATATACCTGCTGAAATTCAACAAGCGTGCAAGCTGGTCATTGGACGCGTAGTCTGGAGGTTAAGAGACAAAAACTGTTAATCAATAGGTCGTATTTGATCCCTCTACGCTCACATGGTGACTAAACACAAGGATGAAAACGCTCGTGCGGTTGAACTTTTCGGAGTCTGATCATAGTTTGCTTAAACTTCCAGTCAAATTTGAACCAACGGTTTGGTAGTCATGTGGCTTTATGTGGCAATCTGACTATTCAAGTGAAACATACTGACTGTTCGCCAGCAGTCATACGATTCCCTGAGCAGAATAAAAGACCAAGTTCGACGGTCATTTGAAGAAATAAAGAAGACGCAAAATCGGCACCTTCAGTAACGAGTGATTAGTGAGCATAAAATGAGGACTACTCACTTAGGGAAGGCAACGGTCCAGGCGACCGATACGTGATTGGTGCTTTGAATGCCAGCCCACCCGGTTCGGTAGCGGAGGCAGCTGGGGGCTCAGTATAGCCCAACCCAGTTCGCATCGTTCATCAGGGGGTGGATTGACAGGGTTACCAAACTCGACCTTACAGTCCGTTATACTTTGTTTGCGCCAACTTTTTGTTGTCTTGCTGCATCTTAATTGGAAAAGCGTACTTAGGCGACGCACTACAAGAGTGCATTATACCGTGGGTTGCAGCGATCAAGTGAGCACATGCTGGACCCTGAAGGTCGCAATTTGGAAGCATACATTTTTGTATAACAATATTATGATAAGCCTTTAGCGAAGTATTGCTTCGGAACTTGGAAAATACGTGCAACCTACCTCCATGTGCATGCCATTGGTTGCTTTTTCCGTCGCATACCGTCGACTGAAACAACCTGATTGTGTTTCCAGTATGAACCCGACTCAGTTTCCCCCGATGAATTTTTTGCAGCCTCCGCCAAAATGTTTATATGATGAGCGAAAAAAATCGAAATCGTTAAACCGTAGCATCCTTTCGGTGCCTAGCTGCCATACCAACGGAAGGGGACACGAGGACTGGGATACTACCAGTTTTCCCAGAATAAATGGTTTAGGCGAAACACAAGGTATTTCTACCAATCGGATTCGCCCCCTGGACGTGAGTTTTCCAAATCTGCCCTCTAATCAGTGGAAACTTGTGAGAAAGGGAGGAATTAGATAGAAGTGATAATGCGTTTCAATTTATAAATTCTCTCCTTATGTCTTCTTGGTCCACATTGATAACATAACATGACTTCAAGCTTTTAATTGAAAGTCTCGGAAAATGTAGGAATTGCATTTTGCACTGAGATGAACACTAGTGGAATGCCACTTTGAACTTGGTTGGAAAAACGAGTGCTGTGGGTGCTTCTAGATTGGCTGTTTTTTATCACTTCATGTTTCACCTCCTCTTCCCCTCCTTTCGGCGTAGCTGGAAGTATGCACACACTGAATCGAGCACACCCTCGCGATATGACAGTGGGAAGAACACAAGATACGGACAGTCTGGGATCCGTGCAGCCACCACTCTCTTTCACGGTCAGTCTTTTTCCCTGGAGTTTCTTCGGCACTCAAGTGGTGCTTGATGATGTTACAATTACTGGTTTCGTGTTTCGCTTCATATATCCTGCTGCAGCCTAGATAATCAATTCCATCCGATTTTATAACTACAATTTAAGTTAGCAAGCCGAGTTTGAATGCATATGTGGAGAGAATGACACCCACTCTCATCATTTTGGATACAGTGACTGAGATTGGTCGCCTACGCTCACAATCCCCGAATAGGAAAGACTAGATTTCACTGGTATTTTAGTGGTTCAAAAGTGGTCGATAAGCATGTGCCTAGAATTTTCCACCATTTTCACAGCATTGCATAAAATGAGTTACAAAACCGGTGGTGGAGCTATCTAGAAACAATACATGGGAGCTCACCAGTTGCATGGATGACGTCTATGGAACTCCAGTTGCTACAGTCGACAAGCAAAATTTTGTAAGAAGTAGAATGGGTAAGCGGATGACTAAGAGAGATTCCATTTGGTCACTATATAAACGCTTGCAGACGGTCTGTCTACACTATTATTCACAGTCTGTGCGCGTGGTTAATCCACGAAGATGTAACCTAGTACTGACATGTCAACAATTCACGTCGAATAAAGCACGACATTCGACCCCTAATAAGACTGGGACTGCATACAATATAAGATAATAATATACGAAAGTGTTTCAGACTGCAAGTTTGTCTCGTGATATATCCTGATGCTAATTAACTGAGGCTGTAGAAAGCAGACAACATCCAGTATAACTGGACAGTCTTGTGTAGGCAGCCTGTACCCCGTGGTCCTAAGGTTACTAGTAGATATACTGACGGAAAACCTGTAGCTCACTTATTGTGGTGCGGCATGGTGGGAAGTTCAGTCTCCAGGATGTGAGGATGGAATCGCCGCGTCCGTATTCAGGTTTGGTAGCGGAACGGATCCAGCCGAATACCGATGTATAAGCTCCCCGGCGCTGCTATCCAAAATCAAGGAATTTATAAAAGTCGACAGAATCATTCATTGTCTCGAGCAACATACTGTTCCGAATTTGGAACAATTCAGCTTGTGTAAATAACATTCATGCCCATCCGACATGCTGATATTCGTTGACAGCCATATACTGAAGCAGGAATCCAGGTGATCCATCCAGACCTCAAAGCGTTCGTTCGCGTTGACCGCTCCATCGTGTTGTCTAACAACAATGCATGGGGATCAAAGGGCTCAGAAGATATGGGTCCAGCAAATTCTCTCAAGACGAATACAGGAGGAATGTGACATACCGCGCCGACAGAGGTGTATGAAAGATAGTACAAAAGGTTTGGGTGCTGTTCATGCCACTCGCCTCCCAGGATGGGGACCGCGAGATCCCCACTGCACCTGGTGGAGAAGCTGCAAGTTATGGCTTCTAATCCTTGTCAATGCTTTTCTTGTTGTCAATTTCCTTCCAGATTAGCTGAATGAGTGTTTGGATGTGTAGGCACCTCAGAATGATTGTAGTGAGCTAGCACTAAGTCCCTTCCCCGTTCACCTTTATTCTTTTCTTCACAGTAAGGCTTTCAAATAAATCATGATTGCACGGCAGTGAAGCATCACTGTTGAACACTGATGTTATGCTGCCGATTATGATTATGTTGAGGTGCAATACTGCTGCTCCTGTGAGGTTTCGTACAATAGGTGGGTGGATAGGGTGGTGGTCTAGGCTTTGCAAACACCGACATACACGTCGAATGTGTTTTTTGCCTTGTAGGACACATGAGCTAACAATTCTGTAGTATTCCCAGAACGCTATTGGGTGTTGTCTGTTGGATCAGTATTACACTGACCAGTTGCCGCCATCTTGTTTCCGAAACGTCCAACAAACCACCGTCATGTGCTACAACAATGTTCAGCATAAAATGGCTGCGCCGTGGCCTTGCGACGCAATTCAGGCCGTGTCCGGGGCATCAACAGAGGAACTTGAGTGTTCCTACAGCTGTGTGCTAGATTGGGCCTGATGTGTGTGACACCGCGGTAACAAGCTTAACACAAACTGGTGGTTCGATCCACCAGAGACGATAGACTGCGTCACTGATGACGTCGATTCGCTACACTGTTCACTCACTATGCAGCCAAGTTTGGTGGCAATAATTCAGTTTCACTAACCTACCGGCATGCGCAAATGCTACAAAACTTCATGTACCCAGTGGTTTTGAAACTAGCAGAAATACAATTAAAAAGTTTGGGATCGGAAGAATTTGGTGTTTGGTGCTGCATACTTTCAGACTGCTATGCGAAATGCTAGAGTTTCCATGTTGAGTCGAATAGCGTGCATTACGCTCAATTCGACCAGCCTATCACTGTGTACCAATGCGGAGCGCACAGTAGATCACACTGGGCTTTATACGATTCGTTTAGTATTATTACCTGTCGTGATCCTCTGTCATTCGTCAGCACCTGCCAACTCACCCTGTAGACCGATATTTGAGTGCAGTGGTCTCTTTGGGCACTTGTCTCCCTGGTTGCGGTTTTGATATTCATTTTTATAGTACTAATTCATTGTCCTGATTCTTCGCATCGTGCCTCACTTCAGCGCCATGCTGGATCAACTGGACATCTGTATTCCAACTTACCGCGCTCTGGGATGCGAGATACATATGACCAAATGTCGCAGCAGCGCAGGACGAGTGTCGCAGACCGTACTCCGTCCTATGCTTCTCCACAAGGAAGTTACATGGACGGTTCGCGTTCCCATGAATATGTCAATCAGGCCAAGTTCCTGCGAAACGGACCCGTCGAGCAGGGATCAATCATGAGTGGCTCAGTAATGAGTGACTATAGTGCGAAATATAGTCAAAACGAAATTGCATCACGACGGACAGCTTCCCCACAATACCCGACCGCTCGAAAATCAGCAGGTTACGGTTACGAGGCCCCGAGCGAAGTCAGCCAGTCAACTGGCTATCAGAATAAACCATCTCATTCAAGTAGGCGGCGACCTAGTGGCGGGGTTCCTGCATTAGGTGGCATAATGCTTACGGACCCGATGCCCAGGCGAGACAATCCTCAGGTGAAAACACGCGATAGAAAAGAACCTCCACGTCACAATGCTGCATTTGAGGAGCCCGATGAGCCAGTGGATGCGTCTTTAGAGTACGATGACGAGGACGAACTGGAGGAGGATGATCGACATTTCGACTACCCACCACATTCTCCAGATGGCCGATATGGTCCACAATCACGCCTAGCTTCGAGAACTCCTCCCATGCCCACAAATGCTGGTCGAACAAGGGCCTCCGAACAGTCGAAGCCGCCCACTAGACATACGGTGAGTACACTATCCATTAAATGTCTCTGCATCGAGCACACTGCATTGGTCACGCCTTAAGGGTGAAGGCGCGAGTTCACTGACCGAAAGGTCCTTGGTTCGAACCCAACCTCTGCATTTCGCCTGCTCCTGTCTAGAATTGGACAGCCTGGCAGTACCCCTTTCCTTGTGTCTCCTACGGGTGGCTTGGCAGCTAGGCACCGAAAGGGTATTACAGCTGAGCGATTATTATTATTAACCTATTTAAACAGTCGCTACGTTGTTGGTGTTAATCATCCTGAAAATAACCGATAAGGCGGTACATGTGTTCTTTTTGAATGGAGGCAGTTATTAGCCACCTAACTATGTCATACTTCCCACACGCGTTCCCTGTCAGAGGACTGAAAAACCTTTTATGTAGCTTTGTCTGTTCTGGTCGCTCTTTCTGATTGATGGCTCTAAATAGCAGCTGTCTGAATGTCCCCAACTCGGAAGAAACTTCGAGATGAACGGACGTCTGTGATACCAGGTTAGTCTCGCCCGAATGGGATCAGTTGGTCGGTCAGAATAGGATGTACAAGGAAGCCTACGTAAGGCCACGAGTGAGCCAAACCCAGTTAAATGGTCAAAATTTTGTTCAGTAAATCGTATTCTGCATGGTACAAATGTTCCGCTAATGAAGGTCAGATGTTTCGAGAGTGCTTCCTATGGTGCTCACACTGGAAGATGTGAACTTCATATAGGTACCCCTAGTTTGATATCGGGGCACCTTAAGATCCTTATCAAACATCACGCCTAGAAGGTGTACGTTCACGAGTGGTTGAAGGGTGTATCGATAGACCATTGGAGAACTCACGTCATGTCGGACAATTATGCTCCGTGACGCTGTGGCACTGCAATCAAATGTGACTCCCTCCTGCCGCTAGCTGGAGCTTTTGAGGCGTCAGTACACTCTCGAACGAATCGTAGATCGATAGGTTCAAGTATTGGGATACATTCTCAAACCCAACAAATATGGACATTAAATCTGACAAAAGCATCTCAACTTTCTTTTTTTTAATGTATCACAATAAAAGATCTTTGGCGTACTTACCTCCTTGAGTAACACTCACATTTCCCGATTATGTCTTGATATTTTCTGTTTACCGCAACTCGCCATCCAGCCTCGTGGACGCTCAGGGAGGACGGAACTTATGCTTTGATTCGATTGGGCAAATCACCTAAGGGTGTTTGTTTTTTTCCCGGCCTTTTGCCAATCAACTCCGAGTTGAATAGGAAACCGACCTGCCTCGTCCTTGTAACTTTTGATTTTTCTACTAGCCCACTTGCTATTCAACCCCTTGTTACTTCTCATTTCATATAGCTACAACCACGTGCATATCACTCTGACTGTTACTGCTGTGACTTCCTCGCCGTTTTCTTACCTGACCTGCGCAATCTGTTTTCATCCCCTTTTTAACCATCCGGGTACTTTTACTTGTTTTTTCTAAATTGCACGGCACTTTTTTCTACTGCACAGGAACTGAAAATTTACTGCGACGTTACTTTGTGTTCTACTGTTTTGTGCTTTGCAATGTGACTAGACGTATATTTCAGAAAGAAATACCGCAGTGAATTTGTAACAAAAATGCATGGCGTAAAAGGTCGAGTTAGTTCCCTTTAGGGGATCACCCACGTTAAGTTCCGTGGTATGTTGATTCGGCCAATTTACGCTTTCTGGGATTTCACAATCTTGCTGAGCTGACAAGCTCCACCTGTTTGAAGTATGCGTCGGGGGAAGTCTCTTTGGTGAAGGACTGATACACAGCATTTCATCGGACAAATAGATTCACGGAAAACGGGGTTCACGGGACCATTGTAAGTTGAAATACCATATAGGACGGACAGACACCCTATTGACTATGATCGTACAACAAAGGTTGCTTTCACTTATGCGATGCGTTGTGCTTAATGCAACACACGACCATATTTCGATGCCACCGGAGAAATGGAACGGACAAATGATTATTAGGGAATCGACGTACTTCGTAATACCGGAAAGAAGCTTGCCCGAATTCCGACCAGTCGTTTGAATTCGGACATTCCGAATAGAACTTTTCAGACAGTGTGGCTTCCATGGCGTATGCACATCCAATGATTTAACTTTTGCAGATACACCTGCAAAGGAGACGCGATGAGCGAAACCAAGCGTTGTACATATTATTCGTTGGTTTTAAAAAAGATTTCGCTTGCAGATCGTTTCTTGGTGGTTGGGCTACCCGAGCAAACTTGTCAGCCCCGCTAATCCTTCCCGATTTGTGATGAACTATCAGGTTAGCGTAACTGCACCTTCAGATTTCGATAACGTTTCGGCTGTGGAAAAGGGTTATGCAATGGAGCACACTTCATTTAACTCGTACACAGCTGTAATATGCAGGATGTTTTGGAATTCAAGGCACTGCCCGCATTATATGGTATCAGGATTTAGACAGCATACAAGTGTTATAACCGGCTACTCAACTGATTTGATTTGCAGTACTGAAGGCCATGCGTATCCACTGAAGTAACCCGATTCCGAACATAAGTATATATATATATATATATATATATATATCCAAAACACTCACTCAAACAGTCTCCCTTTCCTGATGCAATCATTCCGATGAATCCACATTGTCGTACGCCGCCTCTTAAAAATTCGGAGGTTTTTGTATGTAGCTTGGTTGTCACAACACAGTCCCTCATATATACCCACTTTTTGCAGAATACGCTCTACTGTTAAGCCTAGACTCTCAAATGTCGTACCTCCACAACTTTGAGTAGATCAGCACTGAATGTAAATCTCAGTCACCCTATTTCCTATTGTTTGCAGGGCCGCTTGGACTTGTGGAATGAGCTAACTCGGTTAAGCCCTTTCCACTCATGGTAACGCTTGCTAAGTAGGTAACAAATTTGCGTTACAGCGTTCCGCCCTTATCTATCGTCATATAAGCCAAAAAATCCAGACTTGTGAACGAAGTTTACTGAAATCGAACATATTTCCGCACCCGCCGGATATTGAATTTCTCGTATGAGGCTGATAATCCGGACCACGCTGCGTCAAAATTCACTCTGGGCCAACAGTCCATCCGGTGCATACGTCACGAACTCCGTGGTTCTACCTGACTCGACAGTCACGATCTATCGTTAATTCATACCACTGGCTTCTGAATTGCCAGCTTTTTGTCTCCAGTATTACACTCTCTGGTTTACACGAACCAAAGTGCTATCCTGCTTGTCATCACACTACTTTGCACAAAATGCACGACATTAGCGTGCTTGGGACCACATTGATCTAATGTGGTGGGCAAAACCAGAAACGGGTATCAGCCTTCTCTTGCCTTGTACCTCAGTATAAAACTAACGGTACCCTGCAACAAATGGCTAAGTGTATGGCGTATGAGTTTAATTCAGGGCAGAATCAGTTGTGTACACTCTTGTTACCAGAAAAGTCACAAAGCTTAAGTTCCCTCGTTCCTTTCTTTTCATCGAAATAAATTCAGGGAAGTGGCATAAATTCGAGGGTACATTCTGCTGGCCTTTCAGATACCAAGCTATGCTTAAGTGCGAATCGTTCCAAAAGCCCTACTGTTCCGCTTGCAGCGTCCGGCGTTACGTTATCCTTGTCGTGTTTGTCCACTCCATTGACAAAAGTTCGGTTATTCTTATGACCTGCGGTGTTGTGAATGGTTTTCCGACACGTCCAGATAAAAAAATACAAAACTCTGAGTGGATTCTGGTCTAGATAGCTTTTCTAGGGTATCTGCTTTCTCGACGACAGTCAAGCGCTTCTTTATCGGACAAGCAATCCATCGTTATCGGAAAAATCGAAACATTAAACACACAATCGACTGACGACTGCAGTGGTATCCACCTGACTCACGATCACCACCCCAATTACTGACGCAGAAAAAGCAGCTGTTCCCAGCGTAATCTTGTCCGTGTGAACAATATATGCTGATCAGGTCAAAGCAAGACATGCATCGATTTCAGACGGATCCACAAAAAAAGTGCATTAATGTGCATAGATGAAACAAGTTGTTTTGTAAACTTAGCCATCATCGTTTCCTACCCGCAACCCATACTGCCGTTGCACCAACATCGTCACTACACACGAAGACAGCTCACGAGAATAGATGTGATGAACGGTGGACCAGGCCAGGGAATTGTGGCCTCTGAGCTTTAAGCGGTGCCCAATACTATGGCCTGATCCAGCCTGAACGTGTGAAGCTGTCCGGATCGTCGACGGATCACGTTCTCTAACTCACTCGCGCAGGTCCATTGGTCTCGCAGCCACGTTCGCCTCAGTTTGAACGTCACAACCGGTAGAATCGATGAAAATTTGTTCGGTCATTTCTACTCAACATGGTGCTGTTTGCACGCTGGATCGGACGCGACCTCACTGTGCGGTCATGGAAGTTGGAACTAAAGATTCTTTTCCAATTTTATGTAAAATGGTTATTTAGGGTATTATCTCCTCTGTTCGACCATTTCAACGCATGAAATAGGGAAGTCGGTTATTAGTGGGACAAATTTGGAAACTAACCCAAAAGTTATCGTTTCGAAAGTCTTGATCGACGGTCTGGGCGAGAGGGATCAGTAGTTTGAGCACAAATTTACTGACCAGAAGGTCCGTGGATCGACCTCTTCCCCTGTTTAGACTTTGGCAGCATGGCAGTGACCCAGTTCTTGTGACTCCTCCGGTGGCATGGCAGTTAGGCACCGGAAGAGTGCTACAGCTGGACGATCCTTCTGTGCCTTCATCGCGGTGCAACATTCCCTTTTTTGCTACAAAAGCCTCTTCAGGCCAAATGAACATAGCAGTAAGTCGGTTGAGCTTTAATTCAGACAGAAAGCTCAGTAAGATCCCTTTTGACGAACAATCGAAATAATGGTTAGGTGTCTGTTCAGAGCTCTTGGTTAGTGTGGTTGACTGCCATACGACTGATGTATAGGGCGGTTTGAAAGTGTTTTGTCATAAAGACCCATTTATTGCCATAATCCCATAGATCAGTTTTTGGACGGGACGTGAAACGCTTTTACTGACATATAAGCCCACACTGATTAACATTCGGTCGGTTTAAGGAAGTATCTTATCGGCAGAAATAGTCAACAAAACTTTTGGCCGCCTAAAGGAGTCTGATACTTTTTGGTATTTCTGCGGGCTTCGCGCTAGCCTTGCTACTCCCATATACGTTGGTCGACCAAGTATGATAAAGACACTCGTGGTACATATGAAGCTAATTATGTCACGCACCCTGGCGAATGTGAAGCATTTTCGTGATCACACGAAAACACACTGATGTGGTTGAGTTACAAGGAAGGAAGAAAAAGTTGAAGCAGTTACTTGAATCCACCCAAGTAAAGTTGTTAGGAGGTGAGTCTGGCTAACAGCAGTCAATATCTATCGGACTACAACAAAGACGGAACCTAAGTTTGCCGTTAGTTTACTCGCATACCTACACAAGTTCATCGCTTGGCAACTTTTCTACTTCTTCCAGCCGTAACTGCCGCATGAAAACAAAGTGTGAGGATAACTGAGAAAGTATTTCAAGAACTTGCCCATGCTATCCGACTCGGAGTCTGCCAGTTGTCAGCTGGCAGTAGTAACCAATATCCGACTAGGGACTTCATCATTATTTAAGGTGTAACCGCACCGAAAAAGATTAAAAAACGAGCAGCCTACGAGCATTCTCGATGAGGGAACCAGGTTTGGCAGCCACATGGCGTCGTATACCTTACCTTTCATAAAGGATGTCTCATCGGCATTATAAGTGCTTCAAATCGACAACGGCTGTCCTAGCTCCCGGGAACTTTGGTGATATCTCGCGCTGAAAACCACCGGTAGCTGCGCAACAACGTCACGGTTGTGGAGAACTACTGATGAGCTCTAACCTTCTACCAGCCAGAAATGATGCAGACGCGGGCTCTTACCAGTCTTTAAGGAGTCCTCAAACCTAGGGGAAGATACACGTCGTGGCATACAACTCCAAGCACTAAGTGGTAAAGTACCATCCGTGTGCCCTATGTGCAGTCAAAGAGCAACACGTTAGCTGCATATCCCAGGTTAAAGACTCTGACTTCTGACAAGAGTTCACGACTAACGTCGTTGCAGTCAATCACAACTTTCCGGAACATATCAACCATGGCGAAAAAAAAGCAGACGTCAAAAAAAGCCGCTGACAGGTCGGTCTACACGACAGTTTCCAGTAAAATTCGTTTTATTTTGTGACAACTGTAAATACATATTTACAAGGAGTGTAGCCATATGGTTTGCCACTTCGAATCACAGTTAGTACCACCGCATTTCGTCCTTCCACCTTTGGTAGAATTTCGTCGACCTCTTCGATACGACGTGGATAACGATAAGCAAGTCGCGCCTCACACAGAAGCTGGAGAATGGGGTTGGTATGTGAGATAACGAATGCGTCAAACTCCAGTATGTGGTCAAATTATTACAAAAAATAACAGATACAAGTCGTGCAGCCCGAATATTACAAAGTTATCTACAGAATTGTCAGGTATAACAGGTCTCAGAACGTGATGAAACGATGTAAACACTGACTATTCAAGTCTATTGTGCGTCCGACTGAAGTTAAACGCTCAATCGTGCCTCAACAACTAATTGTCGTTCACTGTAACAAGTGTCCGTACACTAAACAAGTCTCCGATTCAGTTGCCATGATCCAAGACGTGCTACTTTTCAATGTAGATAGGAACACCAGTTCCGTTTGAGATCTAACTTCAGTCCGTCTAGGGGTTCAGCCACTCTGACAAAACAGGATGAAAGTTTCCGGCTCCCAACGGAAATTCCTCATCCTTGATGAGGAATTATGGCATTCGAGAAGGATGTCTGTCCATTACATGGATTAGCAGCAACCCGTCCGAAAATTCGCCACGCTAGAAACTTTGCTGTGCACTTCTACAGTGAGGTCATCATTTTGTCACAGCCTGGTCAGTTAATTGCTCACCTACCAAAACAATTCACATACCAAGAGTACACACCGCTGAGCACCGTATTGAAAAACGTGAATTGTTGAGACCACCCGTTGTTGAGAAAAACAAAGCGGGTTGTACTGCGTAACTGAAATTGACTTAACAACATAATGTAAGAGACAAAGGTAGCTTGGGGTGCTTCTTCACCAGTCACGTCCGAATTTCGTCGAAGGATTCACCTTGACTGGCGAACACTGCATTGAGCAGCTAAGCGCACAGCATTCAGTACAGTACAGTACCGGGATGATTTTGATGGAAAGTTACCAAGAGATGGGCTCTCACCGCGAGGGGCACTTGTGGATTATACTACCTCTTCCTATCGATAGCAGTCACTTGTCCAGATCACTAGGGGGACGCATTGTAGTTCGATGTTTGGATCCATCCAACTGATCTGGGTAATCCTGCATCTGTTTCCCTCAACAACCCCACCGACCAATACAAATAACCGTTCCACTAATGGCGAACTATGTCCACTTGCAAATCAAGTTGGTGTTGATGGGAGGCTCGACCGATTCCCAGCTGAATCACTCGTATAAGGTATTTCTCACACTAGTTTAATTCGCAAATAATTGTAGTTTATCAAGGTCAAACAACGTGATGATCAAGTAGAACACAAAGTTGATGTCAAGTTAGAGTTACGCTTTCTCGGTGAGTCCCAAGAGTGGCGAAACTAGTGTATTCCGCTAGCGAGGAGTTTTCAGCAATTTCTTAAGCGGTGTATATCAACAATGACACTAGCTGAAAGCATCTTTTATAGAGAGAAATATAGATTAGCTGAGAGCTTGGAAACAGCCGAACTGTCATGAGTGTGTGGAGAAACAGATAACTTTTTCTCACCACAGCTGAGGAAATAATCCGTAAAGAGAAAGAGGTACAAAGAATTGAAAATTCCAAGTCTAACTCGGCGCAGACGTCATTAGACGAAGTACCTTGCAGAGGAACGAAATTTAAAACTCAGTGAGGTGCGATTATATGTCATGCACCTGAACCATAAAGTTCACTGCGCCAGCATGTATAAAATCATATAATATCAGCCACCTACAAAGCTATCGGAAACTTGGTGGCGAACTGAATACGAGTAAAAGTCCTGACGCCGGAAAAGAACGACAGGACTGCTACTATGTTCGGTTGCATGTCACATCAGCCAACGTAGGTAACCACAATTGTTAACGTCATTTGAAGCCGAGCCAGGGGGCCGAGATGATCCAACTGAGGGCATATTAGCCATAACCTTTTAACCCATTCACCTGCGTTATTGGATAACTTTTACAGTGCATTCAACAATTCACACTGGGTAGACCCAACACAGCAGCTCAGGGCAGCCGATAGGGTTGTTGCACTTTAGCTAAACTGCCATATTTGTGGGGGCGCCATGCTCCCCACCTGTAAAGACCGAAAAAGAGGGCCGTAGAGGCCTATAATAGACGACCAGACCCACAAGGCGACATACATAGTTAGCGATCCAGGGACAATCAGTGACTAGTTCATGTATTCTACGGATGGGTGCCCGCTGTTCACTGGATCAAGCACTCGCCCGTAAGTCCCATCTCGTGAACCCGTATGCTACTGTGCATCCGCGGTTACCAGACGTCTATGCGCCGAGAGTGGCTTGAAATCAGCAGTCTCTCAACGCCCTATATCCATTTTTGCCCTTCATTTTGGAGGAAACACTACCGAGAGGGGGCAGTGGATAGGACATCCTCCTCGTAGACCGCGTAAGTAGGTGGTCCTTTGGGAGATGTTTCGATTGGAACCAGTAACGATCAGATCAGACCAATTTTCCAGCAACCAGTCCCGGCCATAGTGGAGAAGACCTTAAAATCTAACGTTTCGGATACCATGGGCGATCTTTCTCCTTCGAAATCACAAGCAGCTCTCTGCAAAAACTTTAGAAATGGCTACTTCAGCAACCAATGATAACATCTTATCTAACGAGCAGTTATTTTAATTTTCATGGGCATACATGATATTTACCGCCTTTTATCGCACATGTTGTGCAAGACAGTGTTGGTTTTAGACGGAAATTGTTGTTCAGGCTTGTTAAGCAGATCAGAGTTTCTTTGTATTTTATTACGGGCATAAATATTGGAAGATATGAACCAAGTCATCAACAAGAATAGCTACAAATAAGACGGGGTTTCTATCAGGCATTGTGCTTGACCGGCCTGGCTTGATTTCACCACACAAACCGATCTAGCCCATACACGCAAGTGATGGCCGAAAGTACATCCAAGCAATACAGTTCCTTCACTCCGTACATCACAAATGTTAAGCCGCATTTCATTTTTTATTTGAAAGTAAACTGTAAACTCGTAACTAATGCGACTTACTCCTTGCGTTTAGTTAGCTGTTTGACCGTCAGTTCTGCAGGGAATGAGACCAGTTTTTGTGAGACCGTACTGTCCTCAAAATAAACCTATGTGAAAACCAGTAAAGTGAGTAATGGTAGTAATAGTAATAATAATTAAAACAGTGATAATACATGATACGTCATTTGACAATCAGTGGGATTTGAGAGTTGAAGCCGAACTCACGAAATGAGCAAGCACCGAGTTATCTACATCTAGTGCCTTATCAGACAGGACACAATATGTTAAACTACTAATTGGAGACCGTTTAAAGTCAACCCGCAGCTGATTTTCTCACAAGCGGTTTGCCCGTACCTTAAACCGAAGTCAAGCTATCTCGAACACGTTTTGGACTCTGGCCGTTTCAAATGTGAATAATTGACCCGGTAATACTATATAAAAATCTTCCGATATACAATTTCATTAGGCCAACAGATCAAACCAAGGCCTTTCCATAGATTAAGACACCGGTGAATATCTTCCAAACATTGTCAACTACCATAAGGATTATCGTGTTGGTCCCGTATTAGTCCATCAATATCGGTATATCATATTGCAAAGACAGCACTTGAGGAACAATATGTTCACATTGTTTAAGGAGTCACGGATTCCCGCAGCTAAAGACCAATGATTATAAAGCTCTCAGAATAATAAAATCCATTGAGTTGTGGGACTTGATCAAAAAACGATACACTAATCTCGCTCTACAAACACCTTGACGAGGAGAATGAGTGCATGATTATAGAGAGCCCAAAACTTCTACTACAGGATAGCTGCGATGAGAGGATAACTCTCCACTAAAGTTATTCTGTCACAGATCATAGGTCCAATATGGACACTCGAAATATGTTCGGTCTGACGCGCAAAAGGTACAGACGGATTCGTTAAACTTACAGTAAATTTGTTGACGAAATATATGAGCTGAGCCTGACACTGCCATATTTCCAGACCTGAGGAGCATGAATACCTTAGTGTGTGTATTCCAGATCGTATTTAGCCTGGCTGAACGGAAGAGCTGAGTTTAACCTTCTCAGTAAGTGGTAAGAAGCACATCTCGCTAATAGTGTCTGCAATGTGTGCGTCTAAAAAGGGTTTTGTTCGCTTGGCACATCATCGACTGGCTAGCTGCGTGAGCTGGTTTCCTCCTCGTAACTGTGCTTCAGTCGGGGAAAATTGCATTCCACTTCACGTGTTTGTAGTGGGCACAGTGAAAGGAATACTTAAATATGTACGCTCAGCACGCACATTCCTCACTTGACTGATGTAACTCGCATGTGCTCCATCAGAAAATTATCGCCGATAATGTTTACAAGTCAATACAATTCCGGTCCTTCGTAGAGAAGATTAGAACGATTTGCCTGAGTGGATATGTTACGGTAGTGTTTAACAGCAAGATAAGACCGGTTGTTGCGACCCGTTGATGATGTTGACCTCAATAAGGACAAATAGCTTCGAAAAGGTGACCTGAGTGAGACTTCGTGAGAGCTCCTCGGCACATTGGTTATCACACACACACCACCACCACCACTAACACAGCGTTGTACTCTGTTTTCCAGAGATTACGTCACGTCGGATGTTGATGAAGTGTTTGCAACCGACATGCCTAGCTCGGCGAGCGAACCAAAGATCAGATTGACTAAACGGATTTCTGTACGACAAGCAGGTCCTCAAGATTTGAAGTGCGGGATAGAAATATTCACTTCAATTCCACTGGTCAATGTGATATTCTAGACAGATATCGGTAGAGAACACATAGCAGAAAAGTACAGAGCAAGTTCTAGGAAACTGGCTGAAAAAGTATAACCACTGAGCGCAACAACTGTAATAAACAAAGACCGAAACGCGCCTGCTTTAGAGGACAGTAGAAAAAAAATAACAAACCTCTAAACTATCGTCTCCAAATCGGTAAATTTGTTCGGTATCCCACGCAGGGGGCGGTTGACTAGGGTCAAAGACGAGGCGAAGACACTCCAGGACGCTACAAATTACGAAGAGAGAAACCCAGACTGCGACGTAGATGTAGGGACAAAAAGTTCAACAAAGTGCGTCATTAAGTTCCACACGACTAAATATTACAGAAACTGACGAGAAGATAAGGCCTGTTCCACTTAAATATTCATTCGGGCTAGGCAGATTGAGCCGTATAACTTGAATGAAGGGGAACAACTGATGCAGTAACGCAAAAAGAGTGCTTGATAACCGGCCCTAATTCGGATGACTTACTGCCCTCTAAATGGACCACGGTTGCCTGCCGGACATTCTGCAAACTTGAAAGGGCGATTCTGTCCCTGCTACTCAAATCTTCCCAGAAACCAAGAAACAAGAAAGCCGCTTGATAAGATAATTCGATACCGTCTAGCTACGCCGACCAGGACTTTTTAAAGCAAGTTCGGCTCTCTTGACTATCCTCTATGACCATTATTGGTTCGCTCGACAGATTTACTGCGCCAGCGAGGAGTCATATAGTTAGCCTCTATCACACGGAATCATGAAGAGTGAGCTCAACGGTGTCTGGCCAAGTTATTTTGGTCAACGCAAACAACGTTTCAAAGTGATGGGGAATTGTGTCACTCTATAGTTCAGCCAGCTGTATGAGTACCAATCCAGCTTAAAACATATATCACCGCGGCAGACCACCGTGAGTTGCCGTTGAATATTCAATCGAACAACTCACAAGGAACAGAAAGTGAGTAGAAAGAAGAATAGATCAATTATGAGACCATAGAAGATGTCTATAGTTCCAGCTTTAATTATCGATATATAGCAAAAAACGGGCACTATTCCCCAGCAGCGCTACACATTTTTCGTTCATTGTACAAGAAGTATGTGCCAAGCAGCCTCAAAAGTAAAAGGATGTCAAACGTCCACCAAGATATATTTAGCTGGAGAGACTTTCATTGTTCGAAAAAAAACAGAGGTTTGGGGGGTTTTAGGCCCACCTCCAGAAGAGATTATATCAGTCACCTGTGCCATTTTTACTGTGCATAAATATGATACCAAAGCGGAAAAAGCACAACGGTTCAGTTCGAAGACCGTGAACCACGTACGTATGTACGGTGGTTTCCGTCACCACAGCATATGACAGAGGATAGATTGGGGGATTGTGGATACAAACAGAGAACGCTAGTGAGCTAATAAAAAAAGTGGTTTCAGGGGGCTGGGACATCGCTATGTTTCTGAGTACCCTCAATCAGTGATTCGGTGGGTCACTGATACCGCAACCTCGCAGAAAACCGGTGCTAACCCAGATAGGACTGTGTGTTGTCTTTTATGCTTCATCCCAAGGCTATCCATTGTCTGCCTTGTCACATTTTCTGATCGGAACCTGTCTTGAGAAACGAAATGAAGTGGCGAGAGACCAAGTGGCATGCGAAGCACATGACCAAACCAACTGGCACAGTCGAATCCAGTCACCGATTAATCGAACACTTGATTTGTTTCAAAATCATTCACGGTATTTGAACATTGCTAATTGGATATTCCTATTATAATGTAAGACACATCAAAGGCACCAACGGTCTAGCAGAGGGTCTTCGAAGCACAGTGGCCTCGGGTGAAAGTGTTCAAGAATCGGTCGCGAGATAAAGAAGCATTTGGGACATTCACAAACTAAAAGAAGCACCGACTGATTTGCACAACTCTGCTCACCGCAAGCGCGAGAAACCCCACGCAGGATGATATCCATAAGCATTTCAGGTGCAACGGCAATTAAACTAATGCCTCGGCAATCCACGTACTTAGGGCTGAAGGTAAGGCGAGATTATAGACACATCCTAGTCCAGCTCTGTCAGACTGTGGACAAGCCATTCTCTTCCATTCTTAAACGCAGCGAGTCCAAACAATAAGGACTGTTCTGCTTAATTTTTACTTCCATCTTCTGTTGGGATCGACCAATTTAAATCCCACTGTTAGGTCTTTGGTAGGTTGATCGTTATGCCGAGGTCAGCTAGATTGCACATCGAAGTAGAGGATGGGACCAGATCATCGACCAGTGGTTGTCTTAGTCCGGCGTTACGAGTAACTTGCAAGTGTCCAACAGCGACCTATACGTTCAAATCTTAGGCCTTTTTCAACCATTGCTACCTGACCTCCATTAAGCTGCAGAACAAGGACTCCTTTTAAGACAGAGCTGAATGGTACTGTCGGCTCGGTGAGATCGCTTTCTTTGCTTCAACCGGCTGCGGCCTTGCTTTGGGCTGTTGAACGTGTCTTGAATTTCGGATCGCCTTCACTTGGCTCACCAGTTTGTTTCGCGTTCAAAATCTGTATGAGTAGCTACTATCGTCAGAAGACTTTGACGGCTACATTTTGAGAGCAGTGATTGTCATACTGGTGACCAGTTCTCCACTTGGTCGGGGGCTGCAGCAGAGGTACGAAACAAGACACGACTTGAGTTCAGGCGCATGTTTCAGAATGAACGACAGTATTGAATGCAGTCGCCATCCACGTGTAGTCGAATGACCACCGGCGGATAACATTAGGCAATACGATGCTAACTTTCTTACTGAACTGGCGATACCAGGCTTGTATATCAGTTGATCGGATTCCAAATCCTGTCAATGATGAGGGCTCACACTATTGATATACTCCCCTAGGTGGAACTCGAGTACTATTTCGTCCATCACTCCTCAACTGCTCTGATCTGAGCTTTTATGACCTGGAATTATAATTGAAATGAAAATGCAAACTCAAATGTCCGGTGGTCAAAATGTAGACAAGAGCAGTCGAAGGGGATGGGAGGGTAGGTGAATAGTACTAGCAACTAACTACCCGGGCACCCAATAATAAGGAAAACTTCATTATTTGCAAGTAGCCTCAAAAAAATCCTTCAGCCGTAGCAACCTTTCAATGTCTAGCTGCCTAGCCGCCTGAAGGTTGCACAAGAGCTGGGATACTTCCAGTTTTCCCAAGTCTAGACAGGGGAACCCGAGAGACAGAGGCCGGGTTCGAACTAGGGATCTTCCGGTCAGTAAATTCGCGACATCTTGTCCCCATAAGTATCTTAAGGATTTGTAGAACATGTACCTACAATACTAGCGTCATTCGCCTATCCTGGTACGAATATTTCGGTTAATTTACACAAAATTGGAAGCATTGAGCTCCAGTTAGAACATATCGGATATGTATACTCTCAAACATTGTGAGACTTGAACCCCGGTCATCTGAAATGTCAGCATACTGCCACTGCTTCAACAATGTACACTTGACGCATCGGAACTACTGTTTGAAAGACGAGAATATCTGCGCTTAAACGACTTCCGACGCGTAGACAGACAATACGGTTGCTGACCCAACTGTATCAAACGACTGACCCACTTGCCAATATTTCCTTCTTGGGTAACCATCGCCCGCCAGAAGACTGATGAAACGGGAGTGGTAAGGTTACGAAAAATTCTTGTTGTGTTGATAACCCTAAACCAACGTGGTCTCACCTTGGAAGACAGTAGGATCCTTCGAGTCAACTAACAAAGTTCTATTAGCAGCTTGACGGAAAGTTAAAGGAATGCGTACTAGAATCGTTTTGTAAAAACTTAATTATTGGGGAGTCGGTAATGAGTATGGGTGTTGAGAAGCAATGTTCATGCTAATGAAAAAAAGCGACTGATAATCTTCACTTCACATTTCCACTAGCTCTATGCCGGTTGGGTTGGGTTAAGGTGAAAATCCTTGAGATAGTATATAAAAATTTCTGTCTTGACCTATGGCTGACTACTGAGCACTGTGGTTTGTTTTTACTCACGCACACGCCCTTAGCAGCACAGTACATACCACTGACATCCGAGTTAGTTGTCACCGTTACTCTTCTGCATAATGAAGAAAACGTGCAAAAGGGGTGTGTATGAATGATGTTCGGGGCTTTGACCAGACACTTTAGCGTTGATGTGTCTACTCATAATTAGGTAGTAGCGTAAAAACGACCCGCAAACGACATGAGAACGCACCGGTGGGATTTTTAACCGCTGCTTCTATTTCTGCGAAAAAAGTAGACAAAGTCTTACTCATCTCACCTACTGTAGCATATTCAATTGAAAATGTTACAAAGTGCCACAACGTAAATGACTGATTAGGACCTGACAACTGACAAAATAATTTACATCTTTCTGTCCTTCGACTAGCACCATTGGTGATCGGTCAGTGAACCGCGAGTGTGTGAACAAAATGTTCTATGCAGAAAGCAATGATCCGGGAACCTTACTTTGCCTGTTATTCCCAGCTGTCCACAAAACTACAGAACATCAAGGGTAAGCACAATTCAGGTAAGCAAGTTTTATGCCGGAACGAGTATTCAGTTGACAGCCGGAGTATGAAATTTCCCAAATGGTAATCCGTTGCTATATCCGAACAGGTTCAGAAATGAAACAGTAACTGCTCCTTGTAAAGGCCCGCTACATTCACACAAAAGATGAAGGTTACGTAGCAAAGCTTGTGCGAAAGGTAGGTCCCAAATTAGATGACTGCAAGACTGGAATTTCTGTGTAGCACAAAATGACGCGAGAAAACGCAACGGCTTACATCCCATCTGAATTCAAACGGTGAAGAAACAGAGCCCCCAGAAACGAATCGCGATGATTATGATCTCCACTATAGATACAATGGAAGCCAGGTAGAAGACTATATGATAGACGTGGACAATTGGGGGGAGTCGACACCTATGACATTGTGGGCGATTCTTTCGGTACAGGTGCTCACCGGCATATAGCTGGAACGATCAGGTAGAAAGTGACATGAATGTTTCAGGAACAAACAGGCACTACTATGCCGTCTACGAGCTATAAGTAGCAGACAGATACACGGGCGTTACAGAACATTCCTTGTTCCAGAAAATTTTGGCAAATTTCTCTTGTTCCCATGTAGGCATGTAATTAACAGAGACCCGGATCGATGAAAGTGACACCATCAATGCCTTCCCAATCCTTACCATAACTGGGAAAACCTTAACAAGGCTATAAAAGCCATAATTTAAAAGTAGGTGCCTCCATCGCTATCATTAAACTACGCGTGGACCACAAGCCTTAAAGTAAGCTTCAACAAACAGCTACCATGATATATGCAGGTATTTCTGTATTCGACACACGGTTACTTGAAGAGAGGTGAGACGAGCAATAAAACAAATATTTTGCTGCCTAACCAAAGTAAATCCTTGGTTTCGCCGCTTGTAAATTTTACTACTGGTTTCGGGCGCCCCCAATTTGTACTGAAATTTGGAGGTGATCATGAAAACCCATATTTATTGTGTACTGAAAAGTGAATCACAAGCGAGATTTTCAGGGGCTTACCCTGAGGAACGTTTACAGAGGGAATAATAGAGGTATGTGGATTCAGCCACCTACAGGATCGCACAGAAGTGCCGCAATGCTAGTTATGACCTACAATTCAGCAGGGAAATCTTTTCTGTGAATTTTTTCCGGTTCATAACAGAACGTTGTCTGTTATAAAGCCAAATCATGGTGCGTCGTGTGTCACTTGACAGGAATACAACCCGTCAATTCTCAGAAAGCAAAAGGAAAGCTACCCAGTTCAGGCCTAATGCTTGATTAGTGCTCAGATTCAAAATCCAATCCATAACATTCACTTACGTAGAATCTTCAATGACGTCTCGCAGAAAATCCGTCTGACCAAACTCCGGATACATGAATAGTAGGGACCAATGAAGATGGTTGGAAGAATCCACGTAAAATCGCGCATCAGCCGCGTCTGGGACACACACCGGAGGCAACCTGAAATTGACCTGTATGCCTCTGTCCTGGAAAACATAATAGAGAATCACATTTCGAAAGTAAAAACTCTCTACTGCGAATAGTCGGACAGCTATTTGTTTCTGAAATAAGAAAGGAAGACGAGCTTTGCATCCTAGTCCCGGGTGAGGAAGATCTATGGCTCAAATTCGCCTAGGCTGTTTTCCGATAAGGATTGAGAGAACACTGTAAAGTGGACTTAACTGAGGACTGATCTTACTATACTCACCGTCAGTGATAGTGCGCAGCACCAGTATTTGACCATCAAAACTCTTATTAAAATAAGAACCCTGTAGAGGGGAAAAAGAGGAGAACGAAACGAAACTTAACAAGTAGCCTACCACAGACGTTCGAAGTACCTACACCTTCAAACACTCATTCGGACAATTCGAGTAGAAACGGAGAGCCGGGACGTCACGAATATTGGTTCACAGTTGGGTGATGTAGGATTTCCAGCCAAGAGAAGGTAGGGACACTTGATTTCCATTGTCGAGTGCATCGCAGTATTAAGACGGACCTACATACTAGTAATTTCCCAAAGTCCCCTCTGACGAGTCATGCTTTCGCAACACCTTGGTCCGTGCTATCACAAATTAGACAGCGAAAACGACTATTTTCTCGGTATAACATAAAAAACATGCGTATCACATGACCGGAGCATTACTTATCACAACGCTTAACGCATTCACCAGAAGTAGGATCCAGTGCCTCACCAACCATGCATTTTGCTGTTACTACCGGCGAATTCTTCAATGCCAACGTATGACAGCCATAGTTCGTCTTGAATCAGAAACCCATTATAGTAGGCATACAAGGACTCAGACCCTACAGATGGAAATGAGGAATAAAAATTGAAAAATGGGATGACTGTGGTCAACCCTTCTAAATACACACTCGCATCCTTCCTTCCTCCGAAAAACGCGATTTGCGTGTTCCAGACTCTCGCCTACGACGATCTCAGTGCCAGAAATCTCGAAATTGTCCACAGCCCATCTCATTATCCAATCATTTGCCGAGGTGTTAGAACCTTGTTATTTCCAGACCATTTGTATATGTGACCCAGTGACCACTCTAGGTAAAGAGCAACCAGAATCTATTGAGGGCATCGGTGGTCGAAAGCTTTCAGGTTCCTGACGTCTTTCACATTTTGAGCTTGAAGTAAGGCCGGGAGAATGACGCGAAATTCTGTGTAGATCCCGATATCAGTTCATCTCCACAAGACCTTGGTTAACAGAGTGACAACTGCCACGGTTACCTCGATTCAGTTCAGCCCAGTATTCGCCAGCATAACCAACGCGGAAGTTCTCAGACGTCCCAACATCTTACTGTTATTGGTGATCAATGTCTTGCTGAACACTTGGGATAGCATGGCCAAACGCGACGCGTCACAAAACGGACCACAAGAGCCTTACAGGACTCGCTACTGGAATGAACAATGAGGGACGATTTTCACAGATCTGGCAACTGATCGCCGTATCAAGATGAAGTTCTATCGAGAGTCCATGCTCCGCTCCACTTACTGTAGGGAAAACGACCATGTTGCCATAACAAATCAGAAGCTGATCCAAGCCAGAGAAGCAAACTACCCGCTTTGCATCACTTGCTTTGCTCTCCTTGCTGCGATTTCAACGTGTCCCTGCATATGCTTGAAATCGCACTTGTACTAGAATATTTCTTTCATCCGCTCACACTCACAGATGCGATAAAATAAAATGATAAAAGAATATGAAGCCATAGGGCTAGTGTGATTAGAAAGTTGGGCATAAGAAACTTATTTTCTGAGACAGGAGCAAGGTGCAACAATCATAGGTACTCAAAAGACGGATTGAACTGGTTGTTTCAGTTGCTCGTTTATTTCAATGAATCTCGATGCCAGTTTTGTCACATCCTTTTGGATGTGACACCTTTTTTAAATAATTTTCCAAGATTAGTTCCTGCAAGAAGGAAAGTTGAGCGCATGAATGCTCCCAGGTTTTGAAACGTCTAACGTACCACTCTTCAGGTAAAGAAAAGTTACAGATTTATGGAGCCAAACAGCGGACCAATAAGCAACGTAAGTTTGTTCCAAAATTACACATCCAACTGGTTGATCTTTGTGGATCACTGTGTTGTTTGCCCATGGCTTTCTGTATGCGGATACACTTCATCATAATCACCACTGTCACACTAGTAGAAGCGATAGCGTAGCCCAGAGTACATGGTGCATTCATTCTGACACGCTTCACAGCGTTTCAACTGTCTGGTCGTGAGTTATTCAAGTGAGATTGACATACGAGGCTGACTGATGACCGTAGTCAGAGGATACATGAAGGTTTGCAGTAGTGCCACCTGGTAGATGCGGTTGGGTATTTGTATGCAGGACAGTCCACTATAAATTGCTGGAGGACAGTAATTGCATTAATGCTACGAACACAACGGCCAACCAGTGGATCTTGTCCTGAGAGCAACTTACACAAATCCCGCCCGGATAGTGAAAAATCCGGGTAGTTAAGGATCATTCAGAGCGATTGGATCTATTGGACCATACGAGGCTCGTACTCAGTAGGCACTAGGAATAGACGGATGAGGGTGGTAGATGCTGTATTGGAAAGTGGTACCATGAACAAATGGATTAAACATCATGAACTAAGCACAACGCACCATCAGCAATAAGGCAGTCAGTAGAAAGGGCGGTGAGGAAGCTGCGTTGTGGATATGGGTAGTCAGCAGTATAAGTCGTATACAAGATAACAGCACACAAGACAGTCAGTACATTTGGGAGGTAACAGAGACTATCCGGCACAAATATAACTGAGTCGTTAGCTGGCAGCGTAACGAAGTAACGAGTGCCATGTGTCAAAACGTGGAGATGACTGTCTTTGGTACATCCTTCACCAAGGGGGTTAAGTTTTTGACGGGTTACGAGATACTTTGGCGACAAGCTCGTTAAACGCGTTCTGAAGGGCAGATCGATTTCATAACGTCTATTTGACAATCTCGGCGAACACTGCAACAGATAGTGCCTCTTCATCAGCGTTTGTACGATGTTGGGTCAGAAAACTCCACGTCAAACATGGTCTCCAACCTCGAACTCAGACTGTCTTCCGCATGGCTGCTGAACTGGTTGCTCCGGGCTAGATTGTCATTGGCGTCATTTACTAGTCCCATGGACGCATCCTAGCGGTGTTCGATAAGCACGAGGCCCTGCGGCCTTCCCGTTCGGCTTTCTAGTACTCAATGTGCCGTAGGTATGTCCATTCCAATCATAAGGGATATTAGTTGGCCTTCGATGGCCACGAACAGGATTCCTTTCAAGGTGTCCCACTTAGACCGCTGCTGTCTGGTTGACAGTCTGGGTAACTGACGTAAGCTGGTGGACGGTCCATGCTTTGACGGACTGAGGCGTTTCAACCGGCAGCGACGTATCTCTATCAAAACAGACCCGAGTGGTTGATACATCGTTCTGGCCGTAAGAAATGGCGACGCCACTGTTAGTGAGCTGCCCCAATAGCCCGAGCTTTAAGGTGGCATCCTCTTTCAGCATTGTAGAGTCTGAAACGCGATCAAGGGGTGCATAAAATCTGTAAACTCCATGTGGGCCACGAAGAGTTACAGACATTACACCGAGCTCCATGGGCGTTCGATTACATCATCCGCCGGAGCAGCTGACGCTCACGTATGAGCAACATCCTGGCATGCTGGCCTCACTGACTTGGTTGACAGTTGAGTGGTTCCGGGTTCGACTTTCGAGAGACCCACTTTTCCGTAGGAGCAGACACTCGAAAACGGATAGAGTTGACATGAAATCGCAAGCAACCTTAAGGGGAAGCGAAAGCCCAGGGAAAAGTGGCAGCAATGCAATACAGTGTTACAATAAACAGCCGTAAGTTAGGCCACTCATGAGCAGTCAAACAAAAAGGAAGAATAACCGCAAGTGGCCGTTGGTTCACATGATGAATTTTCACCGAAACAGTCCGATGCGCTCACTTATAGTCGCGCTTCCGATATAACACTAAAAAGCAAGAAATGTTTCAATATCTTAGGAAAACTGCTACCTAAAATACCTGCAATGCCTTAGTTTTTGGGTGTGGATTCATGTGGCCCGTTCGACAGAAGAATTGAAGCAAGTTGCAACTACATAATTTTATTGAAACCTTCGGCTGAGCCGTAGCACTACAGAGTGAAGATCCCATACACATTCCATATTTCCCAAATAATAACTAAACTATTGTGGTGTTATTCTCCGAATGAAGGAGAATGTATGAATGAACAAAAACTCACGACCCTGCAGTTCTAAATTTGTTCAGGCAATTTTTGACAGATCGCTCAGCGACCCTCGTGATTGGATGACACAGAACTGACATGCGTATTAAATACGTGCACATTAAATCCCCGCCATAGATAACCTGGTATAAGAGCAGGGTCATCTTCCATGAGCCTGTACAAACGGTTTCTAAATGACCATCACACCGTCGCCGATCGATAATATCGACCAACCGTGGCCTATCTGAAAGTGCGCGGTATTCCCGTCGGTATGCAAAATAGCTACCTGGCGTCATCGGAGGGGAGAGAGGTACGCACTAGTCACAGTCAGTGCAAGCTTATCAACAACATAAGAATGCATGGTCCTGTGTGCGAATACTAGTGCTTTCTTGACTCGATCGAATGATGACGTAGGTGTATTCATCCAACCAGTATGACTGAGCATCGGAGGCGATGTTCTAGATGCTCCACAATTGCCAAATCGTCATCATTATCAGACGGACTAGAGACTAGGGCAGTCACGCATTGAACGCCAAATCTCAGACACGGTAATGCCACAGACTGCGTGAACGTCAACCTCACTAAGCACTACTTTAGAATGTTCCATCCTGGGGAAAGCAGTTGTCTACATGGATGAGCTTGCTGTTCAAGACTTCCATAGTTTGTTGGCAAGTATGAACTGATCGACTTTCGGTCGTTTCAACCCAGCATATAGATAAGTAAGAAGAAAGAAAGTGCAGCTCCACAACGGCTCAAATGAAAGCTATACGTCCAGAAAGAGACACTGCTTCCGTCTTGGTACGGCAGGACGCGGATTCATTTCATATGCCATAGAACCGTTTCCCCTACCAACTTTTATCCTTGTCCAGTTTAACTTCCCTCCCCTCCCATTGAACCGGCATTCACACCTCTGATCCGTTTCGATGTGCCTCGAACTTCACTGTTTTTTTACTCGCAGCTCCATTGTGTTCTAAATATCGATAGCTCACACATTCTTCACACCCATTTGTGTGTTACCCTACCACTTCCTCTGTTTAGAGGCAACACACCGTTCATGAAGTTGCTGAAAACCCTTCGACAGCAACCATATGAGTAGTATGTTGCGGCTATATAATGTATTACGATGCTGGCGTACCGTACCAAGTGAAACATGAGGCGGCCTAGTGCAGTACCTTCAGCTGAAGAACATCGTAAACGAGAGATTCAGTTAGGTATCCTGTGAAAACCAATTTGGTGCGCAAAAGAGTGTATTTCGCTAATTTCTCCGTTCTTTGAATGTCTACTGCATACTTGGTAGATAGATGACAGTCTAATAAGATGACGTGGAATAACGTAGGTTCGAGTAATTCTGTCAAAACAAACTAGGCTCTTTCCCGGTTCGTTTCAGAACGGTTTTCAGTGGACGGAACAACACTCCACTCATGAACCCGTCTATTGCGCGGCCTGCATATCATGGTAGCACGTCAGAGCTCATTGAGTAGGTGCTCCAGGGTTACATCATCCATGCGGTATGTCGTTTGGACAGCACTGCTGCCAGGACGGGCCCAGACATGGAAAAAGTACATGTGCAGAGAGTGACGCATTTCCAAAGTCATCATCGGTACGACACGTTCGGAAAGCAGGTGCGTTGGCGGAGTCCACCAAACACGGCTTAGCAACGTAAGACCAGTGGAGTGGGGCTGAAACTGTTCACACCGCCATTGACTGTACAGAGCGAACGGGTGAGCGACCATATTTGGCCATCTAGTCATCCTATATACTTATGCAAAAGCTCTGTGTGTTTTGTCCTGACAATACAGCCATGTCCCTAGTTCTGTGTCTTCTCCTTATCGCGTAGTCTGGCAGGCTCAGTGCAAAAGAAAGACTACTTTGCTAGGAAATAAAGCGTGGAATTAGGCACCTGGTGATTGTCAAGCCATTTACTGAACAAACTCAATAGGTCAAACATTCACAAAAAAATTGGGGCACATATCAACGACAAGCTTGGTCCGCCCCATGGAAATTTCAGAAAACTGGAGAGAAACCCTGTTACTGCTAATCGCGCTTTGGTGAGAAAACACCATGTAACTAGAAAAAACAGGCGTATTCAGTCACCAGCTCAAAATGAGGCTAGTTAAAAGTGGGGAGCAATTATCCGAAGATATACAATTAGCCAGATTCCTAGGGCATTTGGACGCATAGGCTAGAGCAAGCGGAATTACTGCGGATAATACGCCCTAGGAGGTTGGCAGTAGCGTTGTGTTGAGGTTGAGCGATCGAAATATGAATGCAGGCATCAGGCGATTGAACCTTGTCTCAGCCGCCTGATGAGTTTCAACCAGATCGAAAGGCACAGTAGATCGAAAATGTAGAATCCATCATACTGGTATCTAAGTATCAGCTGCAAAAATGGCAATTGTAAGGATCAACAAGGAGTTACTAGTGTGACGGTGGATACTACTGATGAGGCATGACTCCGCTTTGCGCCTATTGGAAAGTGGGATTTATTACGGGATTTGTGGAATTGCTTCGTAGCATTCGTTTACGTTTGAGTGATAGTCAATGAATATCCAGGAAAGTCCAGGAAGACGCGTTCGAGAAGAAGACGGATACAGAATTTTCATAAACAAGATGCATATGAGAGTTTTGCTTCCCTGCCCAATAGTCTGTAACTGTTCAGTTGGTGTTTTCTAATGAATAACTCCACAGCATAGGATCCTTCCTTTCAGCAGTAGCTTGATTCTCAAAAATTTCCAGTGCATGTGTGAATGCAAGAAACACCAATCTGGGAGATCGTTTTTTCTTCAAACCATTGTGTATCTCAACGACGCTTGCATCACCTTTGAAATTTTCAGAGCGAAACAAGAACCGCAACAGCTTCAACCAAAGAATGAAATAAATGAAACATGGCTGAACATCTTTTTTCCCTTCAAAATTGGAGTCTCGTTTAGTTTATACCGGGAATTCTGGCGACCAAAGGGGCATAGCACTCCCAAATAAAACATCAGTCTACTTGAGTCTAAATGCTTTCAAAACTGATCTTGACATTTTTCTCAATATGCTTCACATGGCGTCCCAAAGATACATGAGTGTTCGGAGACGCGAGGAAACTAGAGAGACTAAACAGATGTAATCGGGTCTTAGATTGGGTATAAGCACTCGTTCGACTGTTCGACCGTTGAAAAATAGCCGAGAACCTACATGACGCACGAACATACAGACACGCACTTAGCATGATGAACATAACATCGGATGTATCCTTACTTAATAGCCGGAAAATGTAAGGAATAAATTTGTGATAATGACAACATGAAAATGTTTCGGTGCTCTTAGGGTGAACGAAATTTGCAGTGGAACGTCAAGAAATTCTCGTCCGTCGTTCCGAAGGATACTGGTAACACATGAAAATGTTTCGGTGCTCTTAGGGTGAACAAAATTTGCAGTGGAACGTCAAGAAATTCTCGTCCGTCGTTCCGAAGGATACTGGTAACACATGTAAGCAGAAGGTATTTTTCATACCTGTGCATTAGGAAGGTAAATCACAGAAAGTCAAATGACACGACTGGAACATGCCAAATCTGGCACGCTTACCAAATATTCGGTGGGCGATACTTTCAGCGGACTTTAGTGAACTTGCTGTTTGTTCGAGCAAAGCCGTCCAGCCTTTGGTAAGCCAAGAGCGACGCAAGAATTTGCACAGGAGGTTCGAACAGCACCACCATTAGGGCTATGAGGTCGTGAACGCAATATTATTTGTCCGATTCCGCTACAGCCTAGTCAGTGCAGCAATACTATTCATTATGAACTTGGAGTTAGCCAGGTCTCCCAAACGGACTAGTGTAACCTAGGTCATTGAATTTCAGTATAGTACAAGTGGGTACATGTCGGGAAAAGGTGAAAAATGCTTCAGTTTTATGCACTTCTCAAGATACCCGCACTGGAGCATAGGAGAGTCGTGGATCCCTGTGACATGACATCCCATGACATCACCGGTAGACATGGCGCTGAGTGTGATCGCGGAATTATAGCGAACGTTGAGCTACGTTGCAACGGGGGTCCCACGGACCAACTGGAGTGCTTTGTTTGTGTGCGTGGGTTTATTAGCTTAATTTAAAGAATGGTGAGCTTACTTCTACCAGTTAACTGTTCGGCCGAACGAATTATTGATCAAAAAGGACTTTAAAAATATCAAGATATGAGACTTGATAGTTTCATCGCATGATAGATAGTATGTTTTTGGTTAGTGTCCCAGGCTCTTACTGGGATTTATCGCGCCACGTGATCGACTGAGGGCATCAGGTTTCCGCGGACTACGACCACAATAGTTCAGACGACGAATTTCTACGCTGGGTTGGTTCTACCGCTCAACTCTAACCTTCGGTAGACACCGTTACTACTTATGATAATAAAACTTGATAGTCGGCAAGTCATCGCCCTGGAATTACTTGCAGAAAGTAGAATAATGAAAATGTCCTGGCCTCACTTACCGTGATGAGCTTTAAAGTTGTCAATTGTTTATTTTCCTCTTCACGTTGAGCTTTGATCTTTGCGATCTCGGCTTGGTCAGAAAGATTTTGCTTTTGGCGAGCCTTCGCACGAGCTTCCGTCAATTTCTGACAGCCAGGAAACTTGGTTAGACCGAGTTCACAAAGCTCAAGACAATCGTGGATCTTGTCCAAAGCTAGGCAAGCCTCTACTGCTGTAGTGTATATTAGAAAAATTAGGTGAACACAAACCAACCTTTAACATATGCTTTTTGATGTTGTGGGTCCGCGACAAGAGCTGCTTTGCAATCCATTATACAAGACCTATAATTTTCTGCAAATTAAAAGTAGGTTACAAAGAAACCAACTGGAACAGTTACTTAAATACCAGTGACAAATTGCCCGATTGGTAAGCAATACAGCCACAAGATTCATGTCTTTCGGTTTGGCTCGAAGTCCGCCAGAGTAGGAATCGATAGCCTTAGAAAATTCTTTTCGTTTGTAGTGATAATTCCCTTCATCCTTGTAACTTAGTGCATTGGCTAGAATTGAATAAAATGTCAGGATGAGATGTCCGATGAAGTACCGTCGGGATCCTCTGACTCATACTTTAGCGCTTGAAGTCCAGCAAGTGCTGGGTCGTCGCTCGATTCTCCAATATCAGTTGCAAAAGCTGGATGACTTTCAAGAATCTAAAAGCCCGGTTGGGGATATCTGAATATGTGAAAAGGGAGTCAACCTTCCAGGGATCTAAAGCGCTAGAAGATTTGGGTTGATCGGAGTCCGCAGTCATGCAAAACCGTTCTGAAAAGGATAGCAAATCAGGATATACCAAACATTTTAAGCCATTCAGAGACAACACAAAACGACGCCAATTTCGATAAAGCTTTGCTGAGCTTAGCACTAAAAATTTGCTCCAGATCGATTAATTCATTAGTTCTCACACCCATGCCTATCCCAGGACGTCCAAAGAGACTTGCACAGCAAAGTTCTAAGATCACCTGCAAAGATTGTCTATGGTGTTCAAGATTGCACAGTTACCCTGAGTGACCAAGAGTAGCGTCGTACGAGCCAGCAGAGGAAGAATTGGGTTTGTTCCAAACACAGGCTGGGCTGAATTCGAAAGACAGGCTTACAGAAGAGAATGCAGGAAGCTGTGCTCGCTCAATTGATCAGATTTCTGAATTTGGACATTTTATTGCGAAAGTTTCATCAATCAAGGTGAAGACATCAACACCCTACAGAAAGACGCCGCAGCGGTACGCAGAAGTTTACACAGGCTCATGTAAGAAAGAGATGACTTTCGATTAAAACCATTTGTTCGGGTGGAAGTTTAGCTCACTTTTGGGTCGCTAAACCGAGGCAACGTCTCGAGACTATAAGAAATACCCGCCTGAAGCCATAAAAAGTGGATGATTGCTGCCGTAACGCGCGAACAGCAAATGCAATAAATTCTAATGTTACGAGTCCTTAGCATACGGTCAAACTCCTCATGGATAATGATTCGATTTGATCAATGATGCTACAGTGGTCAGCGTTCTACATTTTCGGAGAGTGTCTCATCAGCAGCCCAACCTTAATATGGAGACTAGACAAGGGCAGAATAGATTAGAAGTTCACCACGTGTATTATTCATATACCAGGTGAATGTAACAAAACAATACAACACGGAATAGGCCACTATTGAAGGTTCACTTTTGTCCTTTTAAGTATACCTGGAATTATGCCGATCGTAGTTAAAGGTAGGATGACTGCAATCGGAGTCGTGCTGGGTTGATTTAGAGATACAGTCATGTGGATTGTGGCTCGTTTTATCAGAAACACGGTGACGGGATATAGGAGTCCTGTTCCTTCGATATAATCTAGAAAAATTGCAATTTTAGGACAAAACAAAGCTCAATATGTGTTCCCAAGCTTACAGGAATTTATCAAGTCGCACCAGAACCCTGAGAACTAAAGGTCACACCATACGCTTTCTATTTATCAAGTCGCACCAGAACCCTGAGAACCAAAAGCCACACCATACGCTCTCTATGCATTGTTCATTTAGAGTACGGACGCATGAAAGCAGGATAATTTAAATGCGAAAGTAGATAATAGAGAAAATACAATGGTATCCAATCGTGAACCCGAGTAAGTTGGGCTACTGAGGAGTGCATCCGTGATTAGAGCCCAACCCGAGCATTTGTGTAGCTCCTGTATAGACTTGGGTAATCTGGTAGCAGCTCAGTCATCGTGCTTTCTTAGGCTTGCATGGCAGCTGTGTGCCAAACTGGTGTCTATCACAGCTGAACGATGCAATTTCACAATTCGACCTATACTTGATCTTTGTACTTCATTACCTCTCATCGGTTAATGACACAACAGGGCTTCAGTTGGACTGTTTGGTAGAGCAACGCTGGTCGGAAATGATCCATATTTGAACACCGGATGCAAGTGACCTTGCAAGAACACGAGTCTCACTATCAACAGATTGGAGATGCAGGAAGAAAGCGACATATAACCTGAGGCGGCCTGAATAAGCACGTGTAAGAGTACCACGGGTATTTCAGCCTACTTTCTTTCGGAAAATAACCGAATCAAGATGATAAATAAAATGTTTGCCTTCTGGGTACCTGTAGGCATCTCCAGAGCACATCAAGGGACTTGACTCATCATTGTGCTAAATGTAGGGAATCCGCAGCTGATAAAAACTGATACCATGTACAATTGGTGTTCTCAATATTGTCGTATGTTTAATCCACCTCCCACTAGAGGCCAGCAATATCAACAAACAAGCTGGGACTTGAACGCCGGTAACAATTCCAGTTGTGGTTTTGCATGGGTGGGCAACCTTTTCATTGATTTTCAAAACTACATGAATTAGTGAAAAATTATCCAGGAAAGAGACCTGGGATATCTGAAACGTCGGATCACAACTTCTAATAAAAATAACAATAAACTTTTCACATCAAAACTCTCCAAGATGCTCAAACCGTACTACTAAGGTCTAGTCTATAGAATTCCCAGTTATCTTCATGTAACACCACGCATAAGGTTGCTGATGACAATTGGGCGACTCACGATCGGCTCCGGTCTTCTTGGAGATCATCAGGTAGGCGCAGCCTCCAGGTTGTTACCTTATGTTTCACCTGAGCCCAAATTATAGGAAATTCCGAAATACACTCATTCGCAAACTAATTTGGTTTCAGCCGGAGACTACTGAATTCCAACCGTACATCGAATGTACGTACCAACTGAAAGACGACACGGTCTTTGTGCAGCAAATTCAGTTAAAGAATATCATAGACGAGAAATTCGGGCGGGATACACTTGAGTCTCCCGCTTTCAAAGTCCAGTTACCGTTACCGTAGTTGGTGACACAGTTTACAAACCACATCGGTAGGTTTCAGCATTTCATCTTACGGAGGCATAACGTAGTTAAACTAAGAGACCCATCCCCGGGAGAAGACAGCATCACTGCTTCGATAAACATAGACATGTTGGTTGTCTGGAGGAAACAACGCACCCCTTCACACTCCTATCACACGTTTTTGGCTCGAGTGCCACGTAATACGATTACTCGTAGTACGGGGTCTAGCTGCTCTTAGCCTGAGTTCTATCCATTGGCCTTCCTGATATGGTTGCAGCTTGGGGGACGAAATTAAATCGAATGTAGTCCATGGGGTTGGTGCAGTGCTCAAGCCTGACCACCCCGTCAAGGTGGTAGCTTGAGGTCAAGTAATTCCGTAATTCCGCAGCGACAGTTTTCGGGTTGTGTGTGATTGGTTACCTGTCTTGACACCGAAATTCCAAGTTTCACTTTACATTGCCTTAGTTGTCCCCGAGTTTTTGGAATATATGATACGAAAGTGATTTGTGTAGGTCCTGAGTTGCTAAACAGAACATATCACTGGAAAACTCCCCGACGGAACGAGGACGGTCATTCTATGCCTTTGTTGCTCCTGTTTTATTTTTAGTATTTTCATGTCGCTTCCCTTAAGGCAAATTGTGCGCCCGTATTCTGATAAAATAAAACGCCTGTTAACGAAAGACCGTTTCGTTCTACCTAAGAACGGAGGTTTTTTCGACTGAGATGACATATGCTATTTCTACGAATCCAAATCGCAAGAATGTAAAACATTTCCCGATCCATTATTGCTTAATCGATATATTTGGTGTCCGTAATTTGAATCATTCGTATTCAGTTCACGGATTCCTGCAAGAACCCTTATAAAAATAATTTAAAAAGCAATGGACTCAAGTATATTGACTGTTTTTTTCATGCTGATTAGGTGCACTCCTTATCGATGATCAAAGTCTCGCTATTGCACCCCTCTGCTTCAGAACTTTCGATCCATTTCTTAGCAGTTTTCTTAACTATTTCGATGGATCTAACAATCTATCTCCATTTACCAATTTTCGAAACATCAATTCATTGTGAGAATTGATCGGTTCTGGTGTCACACTACGATTAAGGGGGGGGGACAATATGGCCTCAGGCTGCCCAACTGTCCAACACGCAAAACAGACCGTAGCAGCTTAGGTACAAGAAATCTAGAATCGATAAGGTTCGGGGAAACTTTGTAATACCCGTGACTATGCCTAGATGGAAACCAATAAATATCGAAAATGTCCTAAATATGGACGAATGAAACAACGGAGTACGAAAAGATTCCAGACTTGGGTAGAGCACGCGAATTTATTTGTGAGCGCCCCAGTTACATGCATCACAAAACGCAGTCGGAGATCGTGCTCAAGAAAGATAAGTCAATGGTGTGTATCGTGAACAATGTTTGTAATCAATGTGTATAACTGCGGGGACGCAGCGGCAGCAAGGTGGTGGAACAACCGGCCGGGACGTCCAAACATGTATGGAGCTTTCCTGTGTCTGGACAGGGTCAGAGCGAAAAAAAACAAGAAAGCAGTGTTGAACCGAACCAAAGCTTACCTCGACAGCACACCCCAGTACGAGTGCTGTTGTGCGGGGTCCATCATAATACGCATACGGAAGGGTCGAGGTACGTGTTTTTGTACAAGCTGTGAGAAAGAACACTCGAGCACGAAAAGAACAAAAGTGCCCAATAATCTGGCTTTAGGATGACGAGCCCGTGGGGAAATGGAATTTGACCACATACGTGTTCGGTAGGATGCGACAAACAGTGAGACAGGCATCATTTGGATACATGCGAAACCAAAGACCACCGCATCCACCTGGACGAATAAAACACTTGGAGATAGCAACATGACACCACAACGACCATCATGATGATGAGGATGAGGCTAGTGAGTTGGAAAAAACGGATGCAAACAGCAAAGCTGGATCGATTGTCGCTGCTCGATGTGTGGATAGAATCTACCAGTGAATGCAAGAAATGCTGCGGGTGGTGGGAGGAAGAATGGTCGCTGCAAACTTTTCGAATCCAACGGGGTGTTGTTCTCACAAAGCAGAAAGAAAAGTAGAAAAACGATCAAGTTAGAACTGACTACATCAAGTAAGTCCAGCTTCACTTGTGGATGAAACGGCCGCGCCGAGGGTTTCAGCGATGGAATTTGAGGAATGACGATCTACAGCGGCAATGATCTCCGTTGCCAGACGCCGAATCAGCCTGGCACATTCAAGTTGTGAGGTATCCGGCCCAACGAAGGCGGACACACCAGCTGCGGTCTTTCGTACCGGTTCTGTTTGGTCAAAAACTGTGCCGACTGATCCACTAGATAGCGAACGTTTTGTACGGTCCTGAATCAGTGTGTATGATGATTTCCTATCACTGAAAGCAACCGCATCGCCCGCATATCCGGGACATGGATTTGGTGTTCCACTTGTAGACTGAATGCCCGTGGACCCCTCGCTAGAATCCAAAATAGTAGTGTTTGTGGGATCTGGGTGAGTTGGCAGGGAGAGTGTGGATATTGGTTCCGGTTGTTTGAGTTGATCATCAGTGGATTCCGGTATTGAACAATGTTGACGCTGAAGGCTGTTTGCGCAGAGAACGGTTTCATCTGCGGAAGTTACATAGCGCAGAAAATTGAGAAGGCGCTTGCAATTTCGCAGAGTTGGTACATAGCGTGCTTCTGCAAAGAAACAGAGGAAGAGAATACAAGAATTCAGTTGACTGAGCTCCACGTTGAAGAAGAGTTGGCTCAAGCGGATGGAAGGCTGGTACTAATGAACTGACATGTTATCAGTTGAAACAATGATAACTCCACCTACTGTGGAACTTAGCATTTTGGGATGGTACGGTAGCTGGCCTTGCATATATCTGACAGGTTCTCGAGCTGCACAGAGACATATAGACTTTTCTAGTGGACGAGTATTGGAGAGAACGAAAAGTCTGTAATCGGGTGTGACGGAATTATGGGTCATCCTAGGGTGAACTCGTAAATATAGTAATTCCGGACCAAACTACTCGCCCATTAGGAGTCTATGTCCCAACACCTCTTCTTCCCTATATCCCACGTTTTATCCACCCGTATTCTCTCAATTCGCTCGTTAAATGTTGAGCGTTAAAACTTTCGCCTCCACTGCAACTCTTGGATATTACGGAGTTAACAAAGCTTCAGTGAGCCTGCCGGTCGGTTATCCCGTAGGGGTGAAAGTAACCTATATCGAGTTGACGTGACAACAGAACACAGCATATCGAAGGCGGTAGAGCTGACTGATCGGTGATTGCTGTACGTTGAGTGTGTTACGGTCACAATCTGATTGCAAATTCAACTAGGCGAACTATGCCGAAGTTACGGATGGTACCAACGACCACTTGCTGCCAATTTCCATTTGCCCATTCCAACGATTATTAGATGCTTCAACTTGCGTTCATTAAGTCGCAGCTAGTATTTCATGCCATGGGTGCACAGACCATTCGCTCATCTGAAACAATGTTTTGTAGGTAGTCGGTATCTTGCTATGGGATTGGAGCTTGAGATCCGCATTTTTGGAAACGGTGGCCTCCAATGAATCCGTTATTTTAAGACTTCAGTGTACTAACACAAGAGCTTAGGGAGTTAGATGCCCGGTTGCTCTGCTCCATGATCAGAGATGCCATGATATCAACTAAAAAAATTCTGTGGACAAGAATTCTCTCCTCGGACGGAATTCGGTTTAACTGACTAGTAATAAGTCTGGAACGGAATGACCAAGGTAATCACAACTATTTTGATTATTCAGCCACCTATGGACGTGATGATTGTGTGAATCATTCCACCAATTGATGCGTTTTACAAAAAACGAATATAGCTGGTAAGTTTCCCGTGTTGAGTGGCACCTATTACCAGTCCTGCAGTGTTCTAGTCTACCTGAGTTCGACCAACAGAATCCGAAACCACCACAACTTTGCCAGACTTCCGGTTACCTCATCTAGGCTAGTACCCAACATCCGAAAGCCGGATTTTGCTAAAACGTGACTGTTAGGGATACAATGCCAGCAAAATATATGCAAAACAGGGTGGCCATTCAACAAGTGTTCTTACAAACCACTCCACACAATCGTGTCCGCTAGGAATCCAAGCAAACTAAAATAGTGACCGACTAGAACATCCTTGGGTCTGAGTAAACATCTCTGAAGAATGCTGGTACAAGAACGCCATTGAGAACCTGCAAACAGACCAGAGCGTTCTAAAGGGTTTTCAGAGAGCCCAACTGCAGCGAACAACCCAGCCATCTCGAACAAACCCAGATAAAGACAATATTTGTGAGGATGCAATCTGAAACTCGGATATATGGTGCAACCAGCTTACCTTTGCGAGTTAGAATATGATGAATCGCCCAGACTGCCCAAAGGTGCACTTCCAAGCGACTCTGTGGATGAAGAACCAATTGCTCGAACGGCTCAAACGATCTATAAGCAACCATTTCATATTGTGGTGGTTGCCAGCAACACACCGACTGACCCTGGTGGAGAAACAGAGAGATAGATAAATTGGGTTAAGCACGTAAATAAGTGGGTGGTATCAGGAGGCAGACCAAAAGTCGGATGCAGTAAACACGAATTCCTAAGTCGACCACAAGAACACAGGTAACCATATATATTGGGCTTCAACATAACGGCTGCGACATCAAGAATATCAGGAGCGATTCAATCCCAAAAAAAAACCGATAGCTAAGTCTGAGCATTGCAATAGTCCTAAAAAGACTCGTGAGCAAGAATAACAAAAAATGGTCAAGGGAAAGGATGTACCGATCAACCAAGCAGTCGAATGAGAAGAGTCTATGAAGGGAGAATATGAACTCAGTGTCAGGCTCCATGTACACAGTGACACAGGTGGCGAAGATTGCGGATAAATTATTTTCATTCACCACATAGTTCAGAAAGTGAAAAAACCGGCATGATCTGAGGTGATTGGAATAAAGGAACTGGGATTTGAAGAATTCACACCGGTGGATCACAAAGGCAGTCAAATTCGTGGGAATTTCGAAAATCAGTTGCAATGATGAACTCGATAAACCTGAGTCAAACTCCTAACTTCAAATCAATGCACACCGGTTACAAAGAAGACAAAATTGCAGCAATCAGCCAGGGTCAGAGTCCTCCCTCCTTGGAGAGGGCGCCCAGGTACCCGTTCAATTTCTATCCGTTCTATTATTCCGCCCATGAAACGTATGATGGGTCGGCGAGCTTTATCGTATGTAGCATTGTCTTTCCACGGAAGACAGGATACAGGGTTCATTCAACTCTTCTTGGGGAAGGTTTAGAGCAAAATACCATTGGAGACTCTCCGGTGGAGCTTCCTTTTTGGAGAGAAAAGCACCGTATCGGTCGAACAGAAACGTGGTTCTTCATACAAAGGTTTGGCAATAGACTGTAAGCCACAGTTTGCGAGGCCATAGCACATCGAAAAATGAGTCATCACTAACATACATTATGGATTATGCGCAAGGTAAAATTAAGCAACTCGCTTAGGCATGGTTGCCAAATAGTGCAGATCAAACCACCACAATAGAGCGAAATTGGGGCAGGTTGCATGGGGTGAACTAACTGACCGTTCCATTCGTTACCGTGAGATAAAACCTGTTTTCTTGCTCCATCGGTAAGTTGTGAGCAAACCACATGCAGTATTCATTGGAGCAAGCTCTAACATGAGGCAAAATAATGATGATGAAATAAATGCTCAGACACGAACTTTCAGCGCCTAGCCGACACGGACGAGAGCTGCGATATTGTCAAGTTTCATCAGCCCAAACAAGAGCAGTCGAGGTGCACAGGGTCGCGCCAGGGTTCGCGCCTTTACCATTGAGCTACCTCGAGCTCGATAATGGTAACCAGGTAAGACAGTTTTCATCTGACGAAGTGGTTAGGGCGATTGATCTATGCGGGAACGGGGATTTAACATCATCAGAACAACTGAGCACTTCGCCGGAGGTGGGCAGTGTACTGTGAGTAGTAAATGACAGTACTGATTCGAATTGCATGGACTCAACATATTTGCCGAACAAGAAGTGCTTACTCAACCTGCTTGTCATTGAAAGGTAATTATCCCCTCTGGGTGAGCAATTATACATCCCCTTGAGAGGCCCACAACTCGGGACATTTCAAAAAAGGATCATATTGGCTAAAGAATCGCTGTCCCTTCAGAGATACCACATACTGAGCTGTTTTGCAAAAAGACGTGAGGATGAAAACTGTGCCAACTGACCAACAACTTGATATGGCTTTCTTTGCTCGATTGCAATGCGGCCATCCAAACATCGTCCTTCAAACACGAAAGATGCGCGACAATACCAGCAGCGAAGTAACTAATCTGTATACTGGGGTGACGAAGCATTTTGCTGTAAACAAAAAAGAGAGCAGCCACAAATGGAGTAGATTATGAAGAGGGAAGCTTGTAGACATGCATAGTTCCAAAGACGATCTATAGTAGGGTCGAATATACATTCCTCATCCAGCGAGCGCGACCATTAAGGGAGAGGGTAATGCCTCGCATCATAAAAATGATAGCTTTATGGAAGTCGAACCAGGAAACGACCTCTGTGCCAAATACGGGAAAATGCAGGGGGCTTCTGAATGTACGCGTGGGCAACATATTGCGGAGAACTTGAGTATAACCATTAAATTGTACGATACTTTAATAATGTATCCGTAGAGCACCAGTACAATAAAACAGTCATGTGAATGTGGGGACACAGAGAAGAATTAGTCGCTTCTTGGTAGGTTCGTGATACAGGTCTGGAGCAGCCGACCAGTCAAAGGTCAAAATGATGAGCTTACAGGGCAGGTGAAGCCTGGTTTTAGGTAGTGCTGACTCGAGCCTTCACAGCAAGGTTTTGGTGAATTCCGTGGAATTCACGGAGGAAAGCGAAAACAGCTAAGTGGATGATGGACAGGGTGTTGTCGAACCGGAAATAAGTGTTCCAAAATATCCCACTTTAATGGTTGGTGGACTTGCAAGACAGCCACAACAGGCTGGAGAATTTCGAAAAGAACTAAGTGTCCTGGAAAGCTCAGCGGAGAAAAAATTGGTGTGAATTCCTCTCCTATGGGAGTTTTCGCCCTATCTATTGAGTTTTGTGGGAATTTGGAATTAGGCTGCTTCCTCCTTCCCCGTGAGGCGATCCCTCGAAGTGAGTAACGGTTGACTTTTTCGGCCTGTTCAATGCTCGAGAGAGCTAACTTATTGTAGAATAAAAACTGCTTGAGAGAGGTGCCGCAGAAAACCGATTACCTAAGGTTGAACAGCGAGAAACACTATTTTAAATTTAACATTGCACCAGTTTCAGGGCACCTGATCTACACTACTACGGTAATTTGTTTTTCTCAATCGAGTTCACGGGTGGACAGATCCACCAACCACATAACACAGTTTCAATACATTGAATTTGTGTATGTGTGTCTGCGCATATACTTCTAACAATCGATCAACGACAGTCGTGCGCGCGTGTAGTAAGTAGTCGATCGTTGGATCGGTACAGTGTAGATTTACCGCACCTGTTGGCTGAAGTTGACAATGCACTCCGGACAATATGTGTGTGCTTACACGGGCTTGGGTCACTCAGATGGATAGTTCAGATAAAAAGATACTTGATGAAGAAAAAAACTAAAGGACGCAAGCCTTATTCTCTTGGCTAGTTGTGCGAATGAGTTGGATACGAATAAGGGAATACTTGGCATGTTGACATTATTCGTCCAGCAGCTACAATCGATGATTGCGCAGAAAGATCCCTATTTTACCGGTTAAACGGATTGGCCATTCACAGCCGAAAATGGCTAGTTATTCGAGAATTCGAAATGTTCAGCTATACTTGTTACAGCACGTAGCTTCATCCCAGTCAACCTAATAGTGCACACTGGTAGATGTGAGAGATAAAAATTTCAGCATAGTTGTCTGAAATTGTAGACAGAAAGCGACGAACGTTAAGTGAGAACCAACGTGAAAAATGAACATGGATTAGGGACAGAGATACATGCAGCTTCCTACTGCAGTGATTAATTAAATCGATGGACCGGTTTCTGATCAGGTGGCAGATTCACATTATGCCCGTTAGAACACGTGGGCTGGCTCGGACAAATTTGATGTCGCGTGCATGTGGCGCTCATGAGATTACATTCCAATGTCAGTGGAACAGAGACCCGCGCACACATGACACAGTCAGTGCTAACATTATCACCCAGGTAAATTTGATTCTAGCTCCACGTACGGTTGAAGGAGCTTCCGCTACTGAATAGGAATCGACCGACACACCGCTCGTAATACAGAGGCAGCACCGTATGGAACATTTGCCGCAGATGACAGGGCAAATTTTGAACAAAGCTCTGAAAACATCCTCAAACGTACACGTTTTTGTTAATCGCCTAAAGAAGACATCGAAGATAGCTCATGCTAGTCCATCCTCCCAAAACAGTTGTCATTTTCTCGTGATGGAAATTAACAGTGTGAGTACACTGTCAATCACTGTCGAACAACTCAGTTGGGCGGCAACTTAGACAAAGCACAAACCTGTCACTTATTGGGAGTACAGTGGAGAAAGACCTCGCTTGAGGATAAGCCACAGTCCATTCAACTAATCATCAATACTTATGAAACGTATAAAGCAGCTAGACCAATCGAATGGTGTTTAATTAAAAGGTTGCTCAAAATTTCTCGATAGTCCACTGCCGATTTCGCATTTTTTGAGGCTCACGCAGAGTTTCCATCAGCCGTCATCACACTATAACAGGACCACGTGGACTTATTTTGTTTGGTGAAAGTGTTAACTATGATCAATGTAAGTACTATGCACGGGAACTAACGAACAGAGTAAGACTGTAGGTGAACTTCACACACGAAGGGACTGGGCCTTAACCGTGGTGTGACGGTTTGTGCGACCCCGTGATTCACTGAGTTGTACGGGAGGCTGTCGGTGTGACACTTGCAGCATCTCACACCACATTGGTCGATGGGTAGACGTCAGACTAAGCCGGTCTCCTACCCTCCAGATTGCCGGTTGGAAAATCCGTGTAGACATGTCTCTTAACAGTTAAACTATTATGGTAGTCTCATGCCAATTACCGCTGCCTTGTGGTCAGGCTTTGGAGCCGTTACGGTTGAGGAAACCAACTGTCCTCCTGTCTAAGTATCTCGGTCTAGACAAAACTACGACAGGCACAAATACAGATAAATCCATTGCACACTGGCCATCGCATGGTGTGCCCAATCGAGTCACCTTACTAGTTGTATATAGCGGGACGGGTAAACAAAAAGCGCGGCTGCTGACATATCCCATATTTCCTCGACACTGTCTCTTCATTTATTCTTCCTGTTCCTTGTGACGATCACTTCTCTGTGGATCATAGACCTTTCAGCCGCGCATATCACTCCTGTATCCAGAGACTGATAGCATGCCATAGCTCAAATCTGCCGTCTCGCGTGCACTTCTCAGACCTCTTTTCTGTTTTCAAAACACAGTTTAGGGTGTGGACTCTGAAGGAAAGGGGCCAATATGATGCGCACTCTTGACACTTTATCGACAGAAAGTTGTTGCCTTTCCAATTGTCCAACACAACATCAAAGTGCCAAGAACTTCCGGTGATTTTGTATCGAAACACTGATTGTAGACGCAGTTTTTCCCTGGGGCTTCCATAGGTCTTCAATCGTTTGAAACAATCGAAAGACTTATGCGTACTAAAAAAACATCAGAGCTGTCTAAGGTAAACTGCGATTCTGCATCTGCTGCAGCGGGTTATGTCCGCACTGGTGTATCCCTAAGCTTGTGAAATGAGACTTCCTTACCTGACTGGATCACCGTAAACAGTCGTCTTCGTTTGTTGAAATTCTATAGAGCCAGGACTAACCGAAATAACATGCATTCCTTATTTGTGGCTTCTGCACGTGCACCAACCGACTGTAGCTTTGATTTAATATTTTTCATCGGGAATTAGCTAATCCTCTGCCTAGCAAGAAGGGTTCATATATAGTCCCAGTTGCCGGAGGGCGTCTCAAATCAATGGAGACGCAAACGGACGGTCTGAGTTTAGACTCCAGGTGCAATAATAATGGGTTCCTGTTAACCAACAGTTATTTCTAATTGGTGTTGGGTTCGTCCGCAGCGAACGCTGTCGCGTTACCTCACCTCATCTTAGAGGTGAACAGCCTTGACAACAGGTTGATCACGTGGTCATTGGTTGCCGACAGTTAACCTCTACTCGTGAGCGTCGATCTTTCCGGAGTACCCACTTTGATTTAGATCAACTCTCATTCAGTGTTGGAAGCTGAAAGATAAATTACTTGTTTGACCACCGGAAAACTCTCACACATAGGTTAAGCCAGCTTATCAAAGGAGTTCACATTAAGCTGGTGACCGCAAGTTTAGACTCCTTCAGTTTATGAAGTGTGGATATGTATCTCTGCCTAGGTAAGCTCCAAACGGTGTTAAAAACGATGACGAATTTTTTGTCCCTTGTCTAGGCTACCCAAACTAATTTGGGATGAAGAATGCATCACAGCAAAGTGGGACTAGTCAATCGTAATGCCCTTATTCAAAAAAGCATTTGTAACCGCTAAGCAAACCATAGGATGTCAGCTTTGTACTAATTTGAAACAGGCTACTGGCTTCACTAATACAGCTACGTTTGACATCACCATGGGAAACAAATCTGAGAGCACCAGGCAGAATATCGATCAGGTAAAGACGCAAGTCAAGTGCCTGAGCAGCATCACACATACCACCGAGCAACTGCAGTGGCTTTCCTTGATTACAAAGGAGCCTTAGAAGCTTCTACAAATCCCTAACCAATGGGGAGTGCCCCTATCGGTGGATATTTTTCGTAACATCTATTTCCCTAGTTTTGGCTGCGTTAGTTCTTACAACGGTTATTCCCTACCCTCATTCTCGCCCAGTCTTGTTGGTGACACATTATGGAAAGCAGCATCACACATACCACCGAGCAACTGCAGTGGCTTTCCTTGATTACAAAGGAGCCTTAGAAGCTTCTACAAATCCCTAACCAATGGGGAGTGCCCCTATCGGTGGATATTTTTCGTAACATCTATTTCCCTAGTTTTGGCTGCGTTAGTTCTTACAACGGTTATTCCCTACCCTCATTCTCGCCCAGTCTTGTTGGTGACAACATTATGGAACACGGAACTGGGTTACGATATCCTGTCTGGGCAATAACGATAATATGACAATAAGCTGGGCAAGGACTGGTGGAACTGGGCCGTGCGTTCTATTTATTGGTCATGTGTTCACAAAAGCTAACCCAAATGGAATATGAAAAGTGGTCCATCGTTTCTTCGAGCGCTTCGCACCTTCATAGTGTGAATCCCTACCTCAGGATTCTGCTCGTCCTCGCATCGCGTTGAGGCATCACAATGAAGAGCTTGAGATTGTGGCAACGGCATAAGTAATTACTGTAATGCGATAAATGTATTCGCGAAAGCATGCATAATGACGCTACGAGCAAATTTCGCCTTTGGTGTCACAAAGGAATATCATCGAAGTTGAGAAGACTCGGTTACAAAACGACCGTGATGAAAGTTTTAATTTATGCCTATGAAACCTAGATTTTCCGATCTGAATACCTCAAACTTTCTCGCCGGTGTTTTCGTAGTATATAGCAGGCGTTAACTGGCTGCAGCATGTACGCAATGAAATGAGCCGTGAATATCCGATAACGAGTCGATTCGCCGGAGCACCAGACAAAGCTTGTAAATTTACGGTGTCTGAGGCATGTACAACCTACGATTGACTGCCGTGTTTTCCACTTCAACGAATTCGTTCGTAAACGCCCACAGACGACACTTCATGACGTGACAACGCGAAATAAAAGCGGCTTTTGTTACGTTGAGCGATGTTGAATCTTAGTGCCTCGCTGGGTGCGCTGAGTTGGGTGCCAGCCGATTCTCTTTAGGTGCGATAGTTCCTTTAGATATTGCAAGTGAGTACGACGTCACTCCCTTGCAAGAGTACCCAACTGACGCTTTGGCTTTCTGTTGAGTGGGGTTCACAAAAGACGTCTAGTCGATCCCACTGGAGAAGTCTTGCTCCGACAGATGCTTAGTTGTGCTTGTCTCAATGGCTTTGAAAGGTGTAAGCACTTTGCTACCGAACATTTTCTTACGGAACAAAGGTGTTTCTGCAATAAGTGCCCAACCAACCCTTCTTCCTTGTCACCTTTTATTAGGTCCAGGGTAGCCAGGGTCATCCCGATGATTACTCACACTGACCTCTGTATCGACCTCCTGTCAACTTCTTTATGAACAGCAAGCTGAACTGCAGCAGGTTAGGCATTCGTCTGAAGTTTGTATGTACATTGTTCCTCAATTGCTAGTGAAAATCGACGTTCCAAATGGATGCACTCGATAATGAGATTCTGAAACTTAGCTTGAATCGGACAGGGTATTCTTAAAACTCCAGAGAAGAGAATCCAGTTATACAACAAGTCACGACAAGAAAACCAGGAGGAAATTAACACGGGAACTTACAAGAAAAAATCCATCAGGCTATCCACCAGGAGAGTGTTTCGAGTTTGATCCACTTCAGCCACATTGTTCTGATTTGAGGTATCAACAAAGATAACAGTAACGTAGATTAGAAATGAGAATTCTTAGGGGCAAAATGAGTGTATATTGGTTGGGAGTCAAATAGTCACAAGTCGGCAGTGAGCAGTCGTCCACTCGAAAATGGGACTGCAACACTCAGCGCGAATGAATTCATGCCCTTGCAAAGCAAAATTAGCAGGCCATGGATTCATACACGCTCAACTCTACGACCTATGTGATGCTTACTGCTTCCGGATAGAAATCATATACGGGACACACAAAGCGTAGAATGTTCGGGTGGGATGTTGTACGTAGCATCAAGCTGGCAACCGACGAAAGGACAGAGAGAACGTTGACGGTTATTGCAGATATGGTAAAAAATCACAAGCCCCGGGAAGTCTATGACATGGAGAAAGTCTGTCTGTACGGTCTCCAGATACCACTGATGGTTTGAAAACTGATATCCAGGTGATGTGGTGCGGATGCGGTTTCTTAATTAAGACACAGCAGCGGGGGTGAATTGCGGGAAACCAGCCCGCAATTACAGAATTGAAGTATCAGTAACATTTGGCCCCGACTTCGAATCGGCAAAATGATATATCAAACTGAGCGTGATACAGGGCGAACAACACGGTCAGTCCTAAAGCTGGGACCTGCGGAGAAAGTATTCAAATTTGGGCGGGGGAGGGTGGAAGACGGAAAATGAAAGTGTAAGAAGGGAGGCGTCAGCAGTAGCATGTTTTCGCTTACCCGCCCTGCTGTATGCAGCAAGTAAGGCGACCCGGCTGATGGCACCACGCGACGGCTGATGTGGCATGAGCTTATTTGTATATGTGCAATTCATGGTTGTACATGGGCTGGGATACTGCCAGGGCGCCCACACCTAGACAGGAGGACGATTAGGGTCCTCAACCAAAGCCTTTGGCTCAAAAGCCTAACCGCAAGGCAGCGGTGTTTGGCGCGAAATGCAAATGCATTACCATTTCTACGGAACAAGTCG